TATGGAAACTTTTCGAGATCATCTTCGTTGATAGTTGTTCTTTTCTCATGTTTGGGAATTACCTCTCTGATTTCAGCCTGTGCTTTTTGTAGTATTGTAGGGTACTTCATTAACGCCGTCATAGCCCAGATAATTGTACCAGCTGAGGTATCTGTCCCGGCAGAAAACACATTCTGGCAAATATTATTTCGTTATTAGTCAATGCTATAAATGATATAAGACAGTCAGATATTACCTATGTCCCCAAAAAAAATTACACATTCAGTTTCGAGTTTTGTACGGAATAGTACTACAAATGATATAAGACAGTCATATACTACTATGTCCTCAAAAAAAGTCTACATTGAGTTTTGATTTTTGTACCGAAAACAGTATAAGACTCAAAACTCAATATGGACTAGTTTTTCTAGAACAATCATTTTTTAACAGAAAATAAAATAAATTAAGAGTAAATTAAAAGCTCACCATTAGCATGGCTTTGATGTGATTCATACTGAGCTGGAACGAAGAAGTGGTTGATGAGTTTTGTTGGCGTAACTGAAGCATGATATCAATAAGATCGCTTTCCATTGACTTTGGTCTATTGGAATGGTCCAAATGCTCATGGATGAGTTCTTCATAAAATGCATCGAGTTCCTTAAACACTTTCTCGAGTTGAGAAAGTGCTCCTGTATAACGATCCAACCAACCAATCCTCGGGAAGAAATCGGAAAAGTAAAATAAGATGAACACTTCCTGCATTTCCCGGAGGAGAGAATTGAATCTCCTCCGTTGATGATCTTCTCCTTCGTATCTTTTACCAAAAGCAATTCTACATATCAATGTGCTCGCGAATGTCATCACCTGCCAAATTATTAACATTACAAAAAAGGGTAGTCCTGGCAAATAATTAACACTGCGACAAACATGTATTAGGATAGCACATCTCAGAAATGTAGCAACATATGTATCAGGCATGAACTTGTTTTATTGTAACCCCAAAAAAAAAAAAAAAAACCCACAAATTCTCCTCTTAAATATAAACTTTATAGAAATATAACAAATGATATCATTATCACGACATCTTTCTTATTAATGAGTACAACAAGACATGTTTTAAGCGTTTTTTCATATGATTATAACTAGAGATTAGACTAATATAAGTGTGGCAGTCCAAAGTAAAAGATACACACTAAGTGTATGTTAAACTATTAAATATTACTCTATTCAAATTTAATTAAGAAAAAGAATTAATACTTTACCGTATCACTCAAATTAGTGACTTTACGCTCAGCAGCTTCCCGGGAAATCTTTCCGATCATCCGGGCAACTTCATCTTCGCGAATCGGACGGAAAGATTGAACCCTTTTGATGCTCAACAAATGGGAAACCCCAATCTTCCTCATCTCTCTCCACTCCTCGTTGTACGGTGCCAGCACGATGTCGGAAAAATCGTACGACAGCTTCCGGAAACCGACCATCGGAGGCCGGCTGCAGAATTCCAGGTCATGGGTTTTCATCACCTCCTCCGCCATCCTCGCGGAGGAAACCACCACCACCGGAAGTGACCCGAGCTTGAGAGAGATAAGGGGGCCATACTTGTGGGAGAGTCTCCATAGGTATTCGTGAGGTGCTGAATTATCGAACTGGTGCAAGTTTCCGATCAGTGGAAGTCCCGGCGGGCCCGGAATCACTTTTCTGTCGGCGGCTTTTTTTTGTTGAAGAAATCGTAAGATGAATAGAGGAACCAGAAGAAGAAGAAGTAAGAGGAGGAGAACTGAAAGGTCCATTGTTATCTGAATTTCTCACACTGTTGTGTTTGAAGCCTTACAAAAGACGAAAATGGATGAGAAAGACACAAATTTAAGCAAAGAGAATTGTCAGAGATAAGGAGGCGGGTGATCTGTTGACTTTTGACTGGTCCAGCCGACACATTAATTATTATATAAAAAAATTCTTTCTTTTTTGGGAAAGGATGTAGACTTTCTAGTAGATTTCTTGTACGCTTAAATTTCCAACTCTATAATTGAATTATTGTACCGTTGCACAGTATACACATACGTACTTCGCAAGTTGGTTTGGGAATTGGGTAGCCTGGTGGGTGACATAGGTTGATCTCACTAATTAACCTATTCTGTTTTATACTTTTTGGAGAATTCTATGCTCTAAATTTTTACTAATACACATAAAAAATATTCACCAACGGACTATAAACAATAAACATTCACAAATTTATCCAATGTAAAATACAGGACAAACTTGTTAGGTGACACTATGAAAATGATCTTGAATACATTAATTACCATACGAAAAAAGTTTCAAATCATCTGGAATCAATCATGGTGACCCTAAGGCCTAAACACATCATTCGAGAACCTAAAAACACTATCAATACAAAACACATCCTATCTTTAGACATTTGTAATTTCTGGATAATAATAAAAACAAAGAGTAAGAGAAATCAAATGAAAACTATTCCCTTCATACTAACATGGTGAAAGATGCAGAGAGGTAATTTTCTAAAAGTTTCGAACAGAATGGAATATCTAGAATTCGCGTGGGGGCTTGATACACAACATTCATAATCAGATATATTAATGGGAAGCGGTACGTAGAAATAAGACATATATATGTATTGTGATGTAAATTTTTACTGTAAACTGTTTGGTTTCATTTTAGCATGGTGGTTTCAATGTTTCACAATTCCAACTCATGTAATGTGCTGATTCAATGAAGTAGGTGTTTAGTACTTCATTTAATATAAAATTTAAAAAAGAAACAGAGAGTTGCGGATAATGATTTATGGAGGGAGTTGACATTAGGATAAATGGATGTATTGAGTAGTTGGTATAATCTTTTTGTCACTGGACCAATTATGTCTAGTTGAGAACATCTACAAGGCCAATGACCAAATGAATGATTTCACGCCGTAGATCATTAACACGTCGATTTACATCGCTCATTGGCGAAATGATGTCAAAAGTTTCTTCTCGGCGACGTTGGTCTCGCGTTGCGTCCCTCCCCGGAATTAAGGTTTGAACTCGACAAACTCCACTCTAAATTCTAATGAATAAAATTCGAAAGCAAAACCTCGCGTTGTAAGAATAAATGTATCACAAAATATCTCTAACATAATCATTAAATGGGAAGCTTTCTTGTTTGAAAAATTTATTTATACTACCTCCGTTTTAGTCGCGCTAAGTGCGACCAGCTTTGAAAACTGATAACTATTGTTTAATAATTGTAATCATTATTTCGTAACTAAATGACTAAACTGACTACAAAAGAAATTATCTAATTGACTAAAAACCAGTGTTGTTAAGCTCAGATTGGACTGGCCGGTTGAATCGGTTTAATCGGGAACCGGACCCTAAGTCGAGCCGAACAAGGAATAAAATCGGCAAAAAAACAATCGGTCAAGACTCCGGTCGAACCGGAAATCGGTTAAAATCATATCAGACCGTGGTCTTTAATTATTTTGACTTGTTGACCAAAAGTTTGCACATTTCCCGTGATTCCAAGTTTTAATGTCTTCTTTCAAGGCCAAATTTTTCTCTTTTGTTCAAAATAACCCCAAAACTTTTAGTAATTAATTTTTTTCAAAGTAGTAGTTTGATATATTAATCCCCAATTTTAGTTTTAATTCCTAAACATCACTATTTTGATTTTTTTTTTAAATTTCTCTTCACAAACTAACTTCCGTTATTTTAAGAATCATTTATATTATAATAACTCTAATATATCACAAAAATTTAATCTCATATTCTTGATATTCATATTGATTATCCTGCAAATTCAATAATTTTTCTAAAAAATAATTTATTTATATTAATTACTTTATTAGTATGCTAAATTTACGTGTCAAAAATAATAATTAATTGCTACAAAATGTCAATACAACTATTACAATAGGAAAATAGATATAAAATTTAAGTTTTTAATCTTAAATATTTTAAAAATAAGTATTATTTATTTAGTGAAAAATGACATCATCTTAATAGACCTCCCGAGTTAAATTTGGACATATCAAAACCAATTTAAAAACTATGAAATATTAATTTAACTTTAACAATTGGCAAATATATATATATAAAATTATATATATTCTGATTAAAATATAATTATTAATTAATTTATATTTATTACGTCATTATGACGTCATCCGAGTCGACCCCCGATTCGCCCTGAGTCGACCCCGATTCACTCGACCCCTTGGCCTTGTCGAGTCGAGCTCCGGTCCGAACCTGACAACACTGCTAAAAAACTAAAACGTAATAGTGTTCTACTAAATCAGAAAACCAGAACTTTCCAAAGGTTAGGCAACTTGGACAAAATTAAAAGGTATTAATTTTCTTACAAATTTAGCTTCTGTTTTCAATAGGTTCTCCAAACCGATGTAAATAAATCTTTGTCAACGTAAAACACATCAAGTTCAATTGCAAATACAAGCAAACAATGTCTTTGCAAAAGAACATCACTGTTTCTCATCATTGTATCACATCGCTTATTAGTTAGAATTTGTCTCTTGAGCAGGAGTATAAGCATCACACATCACCGTTCAATTTGAATATAAAACCCCTTCTTTCATATCCGCAAAACTCTTGTCCGAGTTTTTTTTTAGTGTGAAATGAATCGTGATTTAACTTGTTGTCAAACCAATTAGCAAAAATCAACTACTCAGAAGGACGAGATTGATTCATCCACCATCCATTGTTCTTTTTTAAAACTAAATGCAGCAATAAAAATATAGCATATGAAGAAAATAAAAGACGTTAAAATATTAGGACAAAGAGGATACTCTCCTGAAACCTTGATCTAGGTGTGTAGATATTTTCACACCAGGAGCAATAAATTTTCACTGTGCTTTGACGAGGAACATCTGAAGGACCCACTGGAAGGCAAGGTTACCCGCAACAGTACACTCTTGGACACCTTCGTACTTCTCCAGCATAGCTGCCAACCCTTTGGTCGTCAATATGTAGCGGACATGTATCAGGCTGTATAGCATCTCCACAGCTGATTCAACTAACTCCATGCGATGACTCAATATCTAGAATCAAATCATGCGCATAGTCATAATAAGGAACTTGTCTGCTTAAACCACAAAGGTTAAAATCTTCTTGAATATAATCATCGTCAACTTCACAGAAAAACTCATTGCTGTGAAGGTTGCAAAACCACGAAATCCATGAAGTGTCCTCCCCATCAGAGCCACTCGCATTTGACTCACTGTCTGTTTCTGATTCCTCCATATTAGGGGCTTTAGCATCCTTGAAATGCTGATTGTCATTTGGACTTAAACATCGACGACCGGTGATTATCCTTCCCGTTGAGAGCCTGGCAACGGTGGCAGTGGTGGTGGTAGTTGCCGAAGTGGACGGAGAGGATCGTTCGAGATGCTTATCAAGGGCTTCATCAACCCGTTTCTGATCAGCCGCCAACACAAACCCAACCGCCTTCGATCCTCCGCCTTTGACCCTCCGATACATCTCATCGTCTCCCTTCTGCCTTTTTCCGCTCTCGTACGTTGAGATTGGATTGGTCGTCCTGTATCCCAGCAATCCTTGTCCTATTTAAACATAAAACAAATCAAATTAAGTCCAACCAAAATCAAGTACATGAAATCCCAAACAAATATTTATAGTAAAGAGAATATGGGAATGGAAACTTTGATGCAATTAATTTGCGGGGAGGGGGCGCACAAAACGTTGCCGTTTTGAGCACTATGGTGGCAATAAGTTACAATTCAGAAAAATATAAAATGTCGAACAAAAAATAGACTTGAATTGACATCTTTGACCCCAATTTAAATGGCTTATGTCATTCTTTCCTATTGGCCAATCAAATCAACCAATTTAAATTTTGGGATGTCACGTGCACTCATTATCCAATAAAATTGTTCAATTTATATCCTGACCAATCACATTCGAGATTCTAAACTCACCAAGACACATTTACTTATATACAGAAAAAGGACTTACCTAAATTGAATTAGACGCGAACCTTTGAATACCAATTTTAATATAAAATAGAAAAATTAAATTAAATAGTTTATAAAATTAATGATAAACTATTAATATGAACTAAGCATAAGAACAAGAGAGAGAAGACAAGAGAATAAAGAGAGATGAGAGACTTGTATTGAGATATATCTTGAAGCATGAATGAGTTCTATATTTATACAAGAAGTACGGGATCAAACTGTGGGAAATGAATCACCTATCATTAATGCTAAATATTACAGAATCGTATCTCCTTCATTGTGAATAGAATAATACATATTAATTGTGGACATTCAATCAAATTAAATCAAATATTTCATAACACTCCCCCTTGAATGTTCATGTTTGTAGAATAATGCCTCGTTAAAACTTTATAAACCCTTTGAGATAAAACCCTAGTGAAGAAAAAAAAGTATACTTCCGAATATGACGCTACCTCACTAAAAACCTTGTCAGAAAAACCTATTGGAACAAAACCTCGATCAAGGGAAAAAGAGTACAGCGTGGGTTACTCCCCCTGTTAAGTACGCCACTTGCAATCTTCTCGTTGCATGCTAAACTATTGATTAGGTTCATGATTGTTTAAGTCAATACTTGACAGTTTACTTCGACTTCTCATGTAGACGGTTATCTTCATATACATGTATAATCTTGAGTTTTATAATAATGGAGATGCACGACCATCATACCTTGAAGGTATCAATATACAACATCCAAACCTTGACTAATTGATTAGATAAATCGAAACTTTATATGTTACTTCAGGACAAAATCGATCTATATCATTAATAGAAAGTCAAGAAGAAGGATCTATGTGCACATCAAGATTTTAATCAAGTGCGCTCAGTTGTTGAATGTACAAAGGTCAAACTATTTAGACCGAGATTCTACTCAAGATCGTTCATTATTTAGACAGAGAAGTAGCAACCTTTTGAACTTCCTTAGAAGTGTTCATAACTATGATATAACTCTTCAGGGGTTTTATTTATATTCATACTATTCGAACTTCGTGATAAGTGTCGATAATATTCAGTCTATTGAAACTCTACAAGAGTTCGGCGCTAATAAAATTATAAATGCACATATGGCTTATGAATACTCATTCTAATATTAATGATCATCCTATCATTCAAATATGATTATTAAAACAGATAAAAAATTATGTTACAAACAAACATAACACATCTAGATAAAAACAAACACAGCATATCTATTATATTCAAAAATATGAACCTAAATATCTAGACACATGAAGATACTATAACTTGCGCAAGTCTTTTGAACTAATTTCTCGAGAATTAGGAATCATATTCCTTTTTTAATCCTTCGGGGATTTCATATAGACGTCATTATTAAATATCAAGTATCACGTATTAAGTGATCACTATATTTAAGAGACGCATTTCTTATCTTCATTTGCTTCCATATTAGCAAATAACGGAAGATTTTCCTTTTCATCCACCACAAGATAAAGCGGACTTTGGGAAAGAACTTATGCAACAAAGAGGTTGCTCGATAATCTTTTGCACAATCACCCGTGAAAATCTAATCGATATATAACTTGCCAAACTTCTAGTTTGCAAGCAATTTCAATTCTAAGTACACATCAGCAAGTGTGTATTGCATCTTTCATTTGTTGTGACCAATAAGTTTAACGTCTGCATCTACAACGGACTTTCATTTCATGATCCTCATTTTCATTTATTTTACTACTGCAGCATAAGCAATTTTCATGTCGACATTTTATTGCTGATCGATTCCATGTTCTTTCGTAATGAGATCTCACAATCATTAAATTTCCCAAGTATTTATACACTTCTTCTGGAAGTTAATTCACCGTAGTGGGAACCTGTTCCAGTTCAAAATTCTTATGAATTATAAGCTTGTATTTGCCATTTCTATAGATATAAACCTTGTCATTTACGAGAATTTTTATCATTGGAATCAATGGTTCTACCACTCATCAAATTGACATTCAATCAAAGAATAGTGGTAGATAGTCAGAGACATTATCAAAATGACAGCTTTTTATATAAGATATATTTACACATTCGGTCAGGTAAATATCCGGTCTTCAACATTATCTCTTGAACTTTAGGTTCATATTATTGAGGATCATCATAAGATACTTATATTGTCCATATGATTTATAAATAGGTTGTTTTAACTTCTCCCCCTGAGGTTGGAATAACTAACCCACTAAAATGACGATTAACCAACCGAGTAGCTAATAATCTCCCATTTGATACTAACTAACTCGTCAAACTAATACGATCATGTCATCGAATAGTTAATCCAACATCAAAAATCTCAAACATTAGAGATTCAAATATTCAACATATATTTTTGACCTCTTCTGGAGGTTCCATCATTATGTGCATTGTGGTGGAATAATTATAATATAGATTGCACATATAATTTTTGAAGATGGATATATATGGTTTCTGACCAAAACCAAACTTTGGGAGAAAATTTACTACGAACCATTTGATCTTATGCATATAGTTTATGCCTTTTGTATTACAACACATCCTCAATTGTATATGAGGTATTTATTTCTCCTAAGCAATGGATTTCAATTACGTGAACACGTTTAATAAACGATTCTACTAGATCGTTTTAGTTGTACACGTTATGTACTAGATGCTCAACTTTTGTCCCATAAGATATTTATTACAATATCATGATATAAAATCCTTAATGGTATTGGAGAAATATTATCACTAAGAGTAGAGTAATTTTCACAAATTTCATGTTGTGATTACAATATATCATATGGTCGATGACGTGGGTGAATAGACCCACATATGTTACCATGTATAAATCAAATATGCCAGAGATATTCAACGAATTTCATTCGTGCCAGTGTTGTAGTTGTTTTACCACACAAATAAAGATTTAGGCTATAATTCATTGTATTGGAGAAACTTCTGGTTCTACCAACTATAAGTATATTAATAGTTTAACATTTTACGCATCATAATGAGACCGAAATGGTGCAATGGATCATGTCAAATGGCAAAATCATCACTATTGTCTAGTAAACGTCTGGTTTACCTTTTGTAAATTTTAATATCCATGATATTTGTAATATACAAATCGGAGAAACAAAGTCTTCGAGACCTTGTATTGCATTATAGTGCATTTTTATCTTAACATAATCTTACTTGTTCTTTCCAGAGCAAAATGTGTTGCTGCTCTACTAGATACAACGATGAATTTTCAAATTTGAAATAACTTAGTCGGTTGAGCAATTTATATCCTTCTTTGATATCTTGAAGAATATAATGTATCTCAAGCACTTTCGTGTTCAAACATTCTCTTGCTCTTTTAGGAGTGAACTTTGCTTATAGTTGCGCTTCCAGAGGCAATGATAAATTTGTTATATTTTCTCTTCAAAAACATTTATTTGTTTTTACTCTCCGGAGTAATTATACTCTACAGAAGTTTTCATCTATCTTTACAATATAATTCAATGGCATATGCTCTACTGGAGCATTTAATTGATTTTGTGTTTATCATTAACTAGCATTACCTTCAGAGCGATTAATAAAATCTACAATACCAAGAGAGATAATATGAGTTACACTATGTGCCAGGTATACTTTTGCCATTAACAAATTTAGATCTTATTTTCTTCGAAACTTGTAGATAAAAATGTCAATTAAATAGTATCATTACTATGGTGGCAAAAGACCACAACATCTTCAGGGTGTTTGACATATTGGACATCTATCTCTAAATTTTTTAAATCATCTTCAGGGTGTTTAACAAAGAATTCAACATATATCGAATTATGATTTGTTAATTCATTGTCGACAGGACTAATGAATTCGTGTACTTTCAATAATATATAATATATTGAAGATATCAATAAGATAATTATCGGTATACAAATCATGTGAACCCAATGGTTTTCTAAGCCAAAACGATAGCATTTGCAATATACTACTTTTTAACTTCATATCGATAGTAGTGTTTTCACTATTTTTCCAACTTCAGGTGGTTAATAATGTATTTATTAGAATCACCACTATCATTATTGCATGATCGCCACATTTACCTCAGGAAATGGACCATGTCTAAATTGAACATGTCTTCAAATTAACTTTCCAACTTCATGTGAAGAATTGTATATTATATATAATTGTTATAGATTTAATGTTTATAATTTGACTCGAAATAATTTACTGTCCACTCACTTTAGGGAATGGAAAGAAATCAATTCATAAGATTTCATCAGATTTTCGCTATAATTATTCTATCTACTAAAACAGATACTCTTTGAAAAGCCCATTAGACCCTTTTCTCGCCCATTTTACCCATCCATCTGGCGTGTCATTTTCTGATAATTTAGAATTAATTTTATTTTTCTATTACCTCCTTAGTTTGGATTGGATAGCTGATGTGCCAAACTTTTTCTTTTGTCCTGAGTGTTTTTTTTTAAACCCCTCTTTCTTAGTTGAGCAATGAATGTAACATTATTTTTTAATGTATCACACCGATTTCCATGCTTTATAAAAAATGTGTGTTTAAAAAATCTTTTACACAACATATATTTTCCTTTTAAGCTTTAGCCCTTTCTCTTCCAATTCTAACTCCTCTCCCGCGTTTTTTTCTCCTCTTATCCATCATATAGCAATAAAGATCTAACAAATAATTTGTGTTAATTTTTAACATTAAATAACAAATAATGGTTGTATATACTCATAAACATTGCTCATTAAGCAAAAACTATATATTTTTGTACTTTTGTTATTTAAATCCATTATTTTTATCAATAGTACCGATTGTACACAAAAAAAAAAAAAAAATTATTGGGGAGCTCGTGATTACATGGGATCTATCTAGTACTACTACTGGAGCAATTCAATTTGGTAAATATATTATCGTAACATTACTACTTCATGTGCAACTTTGTTTTGTTATCATAATCTTTCATTTCGAGTTAAAAGTTATATATATATATAGTAATTGTTCACTTACTTCAAGAAGTAAAAAATTCCAAACTGAGGTTGACATTTTTTCACGAAACAATAATAGTATATACAACAAAGAAAATAATAAACTGCTATCATCAGTGAAGAATTTGGAATAATAAATTTTTCAAAAACTTATAACTTTATGCATATCATCAATGAAAACATAAAAAAAATTTATTCTTATCGACGTACATAGCAAATCACTACAGCATAGCGACAAATTGGTTTTCAAATAATTTTATTTTAGGAAAAGAAAACCTGCAAATATAATTATGCTCCAAAGCCTTAATAACACCAACACTATGTAAACATGTATTGAACCAAAATGGTATAATTAATTTAAAAGGTTTAGATTGAACCAAAATAAGAAAATAAAAACTCCATTATTAATTTCTCCAATTTTCCTTTTACTTTTCCTAGAGGATAATAATATGCATTATAACATCGAATAAGGCATTGACGAGATTAGGTCATAACAAACCAACTAATTTAGTTTATGGAATTATAAAACAAAACCAAAGCAAAATAATGAAAAAAAAAATCATGGATGAATTTTTGTCCAAGAACTTGTTGACTAATAAAATCACATATCACTCAAATAAACTCAATTACAAAATCAAATAGTATGATTTCAAACTGCCGAATTCACTTTCTCAATTTTGAATTGATAAGCCTAAACTGAGATCTTGAATTAATTTGAGGTCACAGCGCCTCAGGCGCTTTAGGTTACAAAAACCTTTTAAAATATTCACTGAGCCTTTAGGCCTTCATAATGTCTATACGCACCAACTTCAGATGGTGGTAGAATTAAAATATTTATTGAGACTTGATGCTTTCAGAATCCATACACACCAACTTCAGGCAGTGGTAGAAACTCTTTGGCTAGAGTCTCGTGTTGATAACGTGTTATAAAATTAATGATAAACTACTAATAAAAACTAAGCATAAAAACAAGAGAGAGAAGACAAGAGAGTAAAGAAAGATGAGAGACTTGTACTGAGATATATTTTGAGGCATGAATGAGTTCCCTATTTATACAAGAAGTGGGGGATCAAATTGTGGGAAATGAATCACCTATTATTAATGCTAAATACTCCCTCCATTCGAAAATAAGTGTCATTCTAGAATTTGCACACAGTTTAAGAAACACTTAAATAGGGTAGCTAAATTACTAGAATATCCTCAACTAACCCCATTAAAATAAATGTTCACCAATAATATTATTTCTTTTGAGGGTATGTTTGGAAATTTTTGATAAAAAATGCATTGAAATCCGAAAACAACACTTATTTTGAAATTTCTCCATTTTGGTAAAACGACACTTATTTTGGAATAGAGAGAGTATTACAGAGTCGTATCTCCTTGATTATGAATAGAATAATACATATTAATTGTAGACATTCAATCAAATCAAATATTTCATAACAAAATTAAACAGTTTTCTGTGACACAAGGAATAAAATTGGCCATAAATATATTTTGAGAAAGTTTATTTTATGATGTTATAGAGAAGTCAAAGTATATCATTAGCGTCATGATGCTAAATAATGAGATAACCACAAATGATCTACTTTTTGTTGTTCCAAAAGCCAATTTCAGTAGGATAGCTGCACGCAAAAAGCAGAAAAATAAAGGCAAGAACAACCAGGCGCAGATCATTCCCACTCAACCTCACGAATCACCAACCGTAGGGTTGGAGCATAGAGGAATAGATTCAAGAATATATAACTCTTATTTGCAAACTGGAAAAAAAAAGGGAAAAAATAAATTGAAAGAATAATTCATTGATTCAGCTAGACATATATCAGATCTACAAACTTAATATCCACCTAGAATTATTACATCCACTCAACCCATATTTGAAACGCAAATTTGATAATGCTACTCCTTTCTGTTTGAGACAGCAAATGGTAAATGAAAGCTTTAGGAATTTTTTTGTCTTTAACCAATATATCCGAAAGTATTGGACCAGTAAGTGCCAATATTTAACCAATATATCAGAAAAGCACCGTATACGAGTGAAGCTTTAGTGTATATTTACATGTACAGAGGTCAGACATGGTGACAGCGTCTGAAAGTCAACTCGGAACCAAAAAGGCATTCTGGACCATTATACACAAAAACGGGGTAACGAGGTGCAAACTCACTCGTCCCACATTGTATCAAGATGCTAGGGGTTCCTGGCTCTAAACCAGTCTCTGTAGTTTTGGCTAATCAACGGAAAAACACGAACAAACCAACTGAATGATCCGTTTACACATGACATACTACACGCCAACGTTTGCTAGTCTTCCGGCTTGGTTGATATGACTGGGAAGACTTTGATCCCCGTACGATGAGATTAATCTCCTCTGCAACCACAATCGAGGCAAAATCAGAATTGTTTCTTTGAATCAGAAAAACGAATCATGATAAAAGAAGTTTGATCACACGAGCAAAAAGGTGTGTCATCCATCAATCATGTGAGTGCCACGAAAGTGTAAAAGTGAAGTAGCTTAAAGAGGTGTAGCACGAGAAAGCTGCAATGAAATAAGCAAATTTGAAGCCCTGCAGTTCTTCTATAACAGAGACAACTCGTAAAGCAACAGTATCTACAAATGATTGCAGAATATGATACTCAATACATAGTATCAAATGAGTCTAGTAATTAAATCAGGAAGACAAATTGATACTGCTCCGAAGATGCAAAAATTCCAGTCATAACAAAGCCCAGTCTCAAACTTACGACCTACATTCCATTGCTCCAGAATCTTAACAGTTATCCTCAAGCCCATTTGCTCAGCACGCTATGTTAACTCAGAAAAGGCAGCACTTCCTAAACAGGACATAATCAGATAATCCACCGATCACACATACACATGATTAGAGAAGAGATATCACACAACCATCACTGCATGCATCAAATGACGGATTACACAAGTTTATGATAACACACATCGAACATGAACATGAATGCCAAAAAGTGATTCTGTATTCTGTATAAACGTAACCACTTCAGTATTTTGACATCTCCAATCACTAGATGCATCATGCGTATAAAACAGAAAGAAAAAAAGATCACAGAGAGCAAGAAGATTTTGTCAGGCTTACATGATCCTCGAACTCAGGGCTGACGAGATTGACAGATAGGTTCTTCATCAACATCAATACCTGGATAGTGTAAGATAGAACCTTTAGCAACAACATAAATACAGGAAAGCAATTAAAAGCAAAAAGTGACTGAGCCATTAACAAATTTACACAGCTCCAACAGCAGCAAAACTTTCCCCATGTACCAACACGCTATCAATCGGAAAGAAATATAAGCAAGTTGCAATCAATTATGGGCTCTGAGAGCATAATCGAAGATAATGAATCTTCACCTCACTAATTCCTTAACTGGAAAGGCAGAAATTTAACTATACACGAAAAAAAACCCAGTTTGCAAGAGCAGAAAACAGAAGACACGAGGAATATCATCTATCAGCAACATCATCAAATATACAGGATCTATCTTCCTCGCTCACAAATGAAACATTGCTATAAATCTCATACCTATCACATACAAATATCAATGTGAAGCAAAACTTTAATGAATTAAAAAGCATAGCCCTTCGCCATTACATACCGTCTCCACATTTATCGGGTCCATCTTCCGTAGCCTGGGTAAGTGATCAGTTGCATTGGGATCAAAGATGCTACCAATGAAACCATAAACTTGAGCAAAATCAGGCATAACTGCAAACCAACAGAAAACTGAGTCAAATATAGAATAAAATGAAAGGGGACAAGGAATCTGATACAGAAAGTCTCTGAGACAAAAAAGGTAGAAGCCGGCTGAAAAAAGTAATTTCATGCAGCTTTTAAGGAAATTGAAACCTCTGCCTAAAAACCACCATGAAATTTTAACACCTTGCTGAAGAAGAGCCAACACATTCTAACATCAATGGAAAAACACAGCTGCTGACCATTAACAAGCAAACAGCAAAAAATATTTTCAAAAAGGTGAAAACAAATACGTCTTGAAAATCCTGTCCAACCCAGAGTGGTTGAACTCAGCTAAAAATGATGATAGTTACATTTGGAAATATGAGCTCAAAATTCGAATAATATCTAGCAATTTAACACCGTTCCTATTTAAGAGCTAACACATTGCTCTTAGAAGGCTTCCAAGAGACAAATGGAACCACGGGAGGCAGCCGGTACTAGGGAAGAGAGTAAAAAGAAAACATGTTTAATTTCACCCTTTATCTCAATCAAAATAGTAACCTCGTTAGGATCTTAAGATACATAAAACTGAACTTGAACTCCTATTTCAGTTTCTCAATCAAAACCACAAGGAAAGATAACTCAAACAAAATTAGTAAATACAAGGACTACAAGATACCAAAAAGATGTTATGTTTAATCCCTGAAGACTTGGTCCCGAGGTCATGAGCAAACAAACATCAGAAGGATTCACTAAGGCCTCTAAAAGCACACCCAAAAAACACTCACCTCTAGTCGGCTGGTTTTCTTTCTCCTTTACTTGATCATTTGCCTCGCTAACTGTCCACATCCTTGGAGTACTCTCACTACTACTGCTGCTATAATTATGAGTCATTGGGGCACCAGCAAAGCCTGTGTCATCTGAAACCAGGACAAGTTAATACTTAACAGAGATAAGTGGAGGGCATGGTTTCTTTCTGCACACATCCTGGTAAGGAAATAAAATTTTGGAGGAGATTTTTGTTAGGTGGTTTACTTCGGAGAGAAGGAGAAAGTTGTATGGAGAGAAGTTCCCTAGGGAAAAAAAATGAATAAAAAAAATCCAGGAACTTTGGATTGAACTAAAAAACATTCGTCTTTAGTAGAGGATATGTTGTTAACATTTTTAGAGAATGTGAACAAAACAACAGAAAGCATGACTGCATATTACTAGACAAACCTCTCGTCATGTGTGAGATGTTGGCTGATGTGACAGGATTGTAAGCCCAAGATGGTACCACAGGATTGCCGACTGCAGTTCTGGGAACTGATGAGGAATCAGGCCTAATAACAAATTTGGGTTCGAGTACACCAGAAGACGAAGGAAATTGTCCAGAAACCTGCGGAGTAACTATAGCAAGGATTCATGTCAGCATCATTAGAGTAAGAAATCTCACCAGATGAAAACGGTCTGGATGAATACTTCAAAGGTTAAAAATACCAATTTTAGGAGCTTTTTGTGGATATGGATGACTTGCTTTTCTCTTCGGTCGAGGAGGCGGTACATGTTCGCTTGTACCGCTTTTCTGCACCTTCAAGAAGTACTTCTGTGCATGGCTGCGTATCTGTAAATTAGAGCTTTTAGCATTTGAAAATCAAAGGGCCATAAAATTTCAAAAAAAACTGAAGGCATCTGAAGTCGCGACTGATTACATTCACATTTTTTTTCTGTAATTGACGGGGGGAAGGAAGGGGACTAAATGAAAAACCGGTTTACACATCCTGAGGTATGGAGGCATAGGAGCCAAGGAAAAGAAGGAGAATAACAAAGAACAATTTCAAGACAAAAGATACATTTGCACCATTTATAGTTAGTTAGTAAAACTAGTAACAGAAAAATATCACGGTTCTATAGATTTGGAAAGTCCACAAAACTTCTCTGACAACCAAGAAGTTATTACAATGTCTCGCCTATGGGGAAAACTTACCTACACTGGGTTCACAGGCACCAGGTCAATGACACAGCGCGTGTTATATCTAAGACACATCCAGAACCAATCCCTCACGCGCCGCCACACAGTTGGCCAGGTACTTGTGCTCAGTGTAGGTTTTTCCCCTGCTAATGAACCTCAAGTAAAAAGAACAGAGGAAAATAAGACATTAAGTTGATTATCATTTATTAAAGAGATCAGCAAAGAGCTCCACTTGGCTGAAGCAACCCCCTCCCCCCCCAAAAAAAAACACACACATACACAAAAAAAAAGTCTTAACTTGGCAGTCTCACAGAATAGCTCAATGAAAGCTGTAAGCAAACCATCAATAACAAGAGGCAATAAGAAGGCAGATGTTGCGATGAAATTACCTGGATAACTGTCTTCGACCCAACAAATGCTTCAATCTTTTTCCAGTCCCGGTCAAATCTGCATTTTAAAATAAAGAAGAAGAAAGTTGGTTTAATAATTGAATAGATGTGTGTCCTATCCCCGGCAAATGAAAATATTGAAATAACATTACAGATGATTCTTGATCAAAAAGTGACCCACTAGACCTTAATAAAGTTACAGAACCCGCTTTTACAGTTGGCATCTTAGAATCAAACTTTACAGGAAAATGCCCGATTGTTTGAGGTCAATCGTCTGAAAGGCCTGGATAATTAATTCCTATGGAGTATAGCATAAAGCATAAACCATAAATGTCAAGAGTAGAACTTTGAAGAACCTACCAGAAAAATTTAAATATCACATCAACAACTAAATAGGAAATATTATGACCCCAGGTTCTTAAACACAACAACATGACATTACTGTGGACCTTTAACAGAACTTTCCAGAATAACTTCAAAAAATCACATCACAGCTAAAGCAATCAAGAAATCCACCATAAAACAGCTGGGCAGAAAAAGACAATGTTGAACAGAATTCAGTAAGTACTTAAGATCATATCATAGTAACGGGACCAGATTAATTAATAACATAAAATTTGCTGGATAATCACTGATGCTCTGATTACATCAGACAACTAAAATTTTCTAGACAGAAAATGTCCATTGAACTTCTCCGAAACAGCTATTTTTGACAGCTTTGAACTTCTCAAAATCAGCAAAAAAACGGGAATCAGAAGTCCAGCAAATTTGCTCATTTAATCACATTTTACCACTTAGTATAAACGAACAAATAAAAAAGGGAAAAATCATCGGAAATTTTATTAAGGAATTTAAAGAAAGAATTCAAATGGACATTAATTTGCCCAGTTAAGGGAGGAAAAAAAATTGAAAAAATCAAAGCACAGTGATGAACTTACAGTTGGAGAGCTTCTAGAAACTTGTCATGTTCTTGGTCAGTCCAGCTCTCTCTAGACTTGGTAATCGTGTAAGGCTTCCGGATCTTCTTACTATTCGGATCCTCCGTACCCAAAAGACCCGACGCACCAACAGTAGCCGACCCATCATTCATCATGCCCCCAACTGCTGTTCCGCCCTGATGATCATTCACATTCACTACAGGGTTCAACGAATGCAAACCGGGTAAACCCATTTTCATCATCGGATCCCCCATCCCTCCTCCACCTCCACCTCCAAAACAGTAGAATTCCTGATGCGCCGCTGTCGGGCTTGGGTAAACCGAAACCATATATGTTAACTTCAAACAAAGAATTCAACAAAAAAAACTCCTAGAAACGAAAATTCAAAGAAGAACCCAACTTCAGAAATGAAACTTTGAACACAACAAAATCAGGTATTTTTTGTTTTTCTTTTATTTTTTGAATTGGGGATTTTGGGTTTTTGGGTTGTGGCGTGAGGAGTTTTTCAAGAGTGTGTGTATGTGTGTGTTTTTAATAGTGCGTGTGAATATTTGTTTGGTCAGAGGAAGAAGAAAGGGGAAGAGGCGGGTGGGGTTTAAATATGACGTGAACCGACTTTGTTAGGGGAGAGAGTGAGTGGATCTGATCCGTCCACGTGGATACTGATGACTGATGAGTTTGAGAATTAGGGCCTTAGGTGTCACCATCTCCTTGGCTCGTTGTGGAGGTAATGTGTGACTCCTTTTTTGCCCCCTTCAATTTTACCGGCAAAGTAAACAAATTTTCAAGGTGGTAGATTTGTTTTTACCTTTAGGAAGTAAATTCAGTTGGTAAAAAGGTCGCAATTAAAAAAAAAATTCCCAATCACTTTTTCATTTCATTTACTTGATTTATTCTTGTGGCACAAATGTAACACGAAAAGTGAAACAGAAGATCTGAAACGCATTTGTATATTAATATAATGAAATAAATATCAGGAAAAAAAATATAAACAAGTAGAGGCTTGTTATGGAAGAATTTTTATACTCATTGATTATGGTAATAGTAATGAATCAATTACATAAAACTATCAACTTATCCATTTTTTCTTGAAATGATTCTTTTACAAAAATTACGGTATACGTTGAGCTGTGATTGATTTGTCTTTCTCAATCTCGCTGATCAGTTGCTCATTAGTTCATATCCTTCTACAGTTTCGAAGAAATGAATTAATGAAACAGATACCAATTCAGCTAGTTGCAATTTTAAGACACAAATTGTAGATTTTGGAATTTTCAATTGTAAATCGTCATTGTTGATATAGTAATAAAAAGCTAATTACATAGAGTAATCAAAGTTGTCATCGAAAATTTTCCATAAAATTTCATAGAACGTGCCATTGTGCTATGTGTGTGTGTGTGTGTGTTAGACTTTTCCTTTTATTTATTTATTTATTTATTTTTATTTAGGAAAATTCAAACATGAGGTGATAGTTTTGATATTCAAAATTTTTGTTAATGTAACATTTTTCACTTCTCAATTTCGTTTGATCTCTAGAGTAGTAGTTATTTTCCTTTCAAAGCTTGGATACTTAAAGTTTTAAACCAATCACCATTTTTGTAACACATTGACACTTCAAATGTAAAACGTCACTTGAATATCATCATTAAACTGATTTATATCATTGGTGCAATAGGAAAAAGACACTATAACGGTTTAGATTTACCTCTTTTTTTCTTCTTTTTGAAAGAAGAAGAAGAGATTTCACTTAGTAATGCAATGTTTTTTAGAATTTAAAACGTGTTTTTCTTAACTGATCATTAAAAAAATATTGTGCATGAAATAAAAATCTAATAAATATTACTCCCTCCTGTCCTTATTATAAAGCATTTTGGTTTCGTCCTATGTTTCACCTAAGATATCTTTTTAATTGGAAAAAAAATCTTACAAATGTTTCACAATAATTAAGAGAATACAACAAATGTGAAAATATATTTTTACAGTTTTTTTTAATTAAAAAGATATTCGAGTTTAAACCTAAGACGGAATCAAAATACCTGATAATAAAGACCGGAAAGAGTATATACAAAAGTCTCGTAAAAAGATATATACCGCTATACGAGGAAGACATTTAAAATTACATCAACAGTGTAGGCTGCGACTGCGAGAATCAAAAATTCACTTTCTTTCTTCATAAAAATAAAATCATCGTACCACTTGTTGTTTGTTCATCGCATATGGAAAATAATAACAGTGAGTCGGGGGGTTGGCAAAATGTAGCTTGGGAATCTTCTGAAGTGGTCCACAGAAAACGCAGGAGTGACGTGCAAACTTCTCTGGCAAAAACATACACAGTAAGTGTAATTATTTGAATAATTTAATTATTATAATCTCAGTGTCAGAGATTAATTAAATTAAGTTAGATTATCTCCCACCACAAATAAATGATTAGATTATGTCCGCTAATTTAATACTACTAGTAGTACTACTACCTTGTAGTCCTGGTACCCACAGAACAGATTACGAGGTTTATGACGTGCAACAACAAAGACAGTCCCTCAGGATTATTAAACTTAAAAAAAAAAAAAAAAAACGTTTGTCATTATTGACCTTAATCCATCCAATCAGTGGGTGCCACGGAGGGAGTTATCTTCTTGGAGTATGGTTTAAGTTTTCTTTTTGGGCTTTGATTCTGATTCTGATTCTTATTCTTCCTCAGTAATTAATGTTTTAAGCTTCCCAGAGATCTTATAGTATTCTTTAGCATTTTAGCCCTTGGAGATTTCAACCTTAATATCGTTGGAATTTAATTTTTTAAAAGAATGGATTAATATTTGTAGAAAGATTTTAGCAAAAACGTTACTACTGTTAAAATCGTTGTCAAGTAGTGAACGCGAATGACCTTTTTCACTACTAGGTCATCTCCTTATTGGCGTTTGAATTTTTTAGTCCTCCCTACGAAATTTCAATATTTTAAGGGGAAAAATAGAAGATGAAGAAGTTCCCGTCCAATTGAAAGTAAACGGGTGTTCTTTCTATTTATAGTTAAATGCGCACATCAAAGATGACTCAAAACAAAGAGACTACCTAAATTTGGAATGCGAATCAGAATCACCAAGCCAAATTCTCTCTGCCTGTCATCACAAGGATGGAATCTATATGGCAAATATTACACCATCACATTGTCAGAGTATCATGACTACAACAGCATCGAATCTTTGGTCAAAAGTTCATTTCCAAACGCCATTTGTTGTTAGTGTCATGGACACCAATACCAATGAATGGTCAGAACCTTTGGCCATTACAGAATTTTGCTTACCAATGAAATATCGGACAAGCAGTTTAAACTCGGTGTCTTCTACGTTCTAAAATTAAATTAGGAACAATGTACTATGATTTTATCGGAGAAGTTCCTATGTAATGAAGTTGGGTTAGGTGCATTGAAAAGAAGTTGATACTAGACAACGGACCAACAGGTAAACAAAACATGGGAATGACAAACTGACCCAAGTGGAATTAACATTGAGTTTGTTGAAAGATATCTTGCATTTGCATTGAGGTAATGATGATAAAGTTAACTTCCTTGTATTGCAAGATATGGCTCACAATCGCACTTGATGTCCCCATTAGAAACTAGAAACTGCCTGTACTCTAGGAATATCACTGGATGGGTGCACCACAAAAGCTGGGATAACTTATGGTCATGCTTCACAACAAAAATTAATGGTACTTCATTCAGATAATGCTTCACAACAAAAAATCAATACAAATCACAATGGCCCGGTACTGTGGAGAAAATAATATCCTTAAAATCAACTAAAATCTCCAGCATTGGGCTCATTGACTATGAAACGCAGCACCTGAAACTATGATCTAAAGTGTAATTATGGAATACTTTACAACTTACAAAGCACTTAAAGACGTGTTGCAAAAACCAAAACAGAGGAGTCCTTGGAGTGCCACCTTGGATGCCTAATCAAGCCACCGTGTAATACCATCTTCCCCTACACCTGCAAGGACTTCGATGCGCACATCCAAGATGGCCTGCAAGCCACATTTAAAATCAGTCTGTATTTCTTATTGTCGCCAATAGTGAAATCGAGCAATCACTCTCATAGAGATGCACAGTTTAAAGAAACAAAAACACAAACGTTACTGAAGAGGTTTTATTTGTAATGAAAAAGAATGCCATCCAGCAAGCGATTCAATGCTTGAAAGTTGAAACTTCTTAATACATAAAGAAATAAGCATCTCCAAACTGATTCCATAGGCAACTATAAAACCTGAAGGCCAACAGATACCTTCCTATACCCCTTCATTGGAGTTAAACTCCCGAATTTCACAACAAAAGCACAGGAAAAGAAGAACAGAAAATAAACCGGGATAACTCTTATTATAATGTATTTTGATTTGTCCTAAATTCATCTAGTATGTTCTTCTAATTGAAAATAAGATATTTAAAAATGCATTTTCAATTTATTGTGATCTTCCAATTATTACAAATATTTTTAAAGTTTCATTTTCAATTGGAATAACAAACTAGATGAAACTTAGGACAAATAAAAATGTTTTATAATAAGGACTGGCGGGAGTAGATTAGAAGATTTTTTATGTCATGTTTAATCAGAAAATGGAAGTCAAAGCAAAATCTAGAGGTCAGATTAAACATGTACAGTACTTATAAATTAAAAACTCTCAAATATGGCTATGCATTTTCTATCAACCTCTATAACAAAACAATTCTCTACAATCACTTTATAATTAAATCAATATAACCATCCAGTTACTTCTGCTATCAAGGAAATGCTTGGCAAGATTCAAACTTAGCATTTTCTGATTAAAACAAAGATGGTCATGGCTTTGAAACTTTTAATGATGCACAGTCCAGCAACTAATGCTTGAGGACCTACTTCGTAATTCCAGGTCTATAAAATTCGTATTAACTACCATGAGAAACGATTATCCACTGATGGTGATGCTTCAGTTTAAACAGACCATTTTCCAACATTTGGTTGAGTGAACAAACAAGAGTTCATGGCAGAGAAAAACAAACACTCACCATTGGATTTCTGCAATTTACAAGCCTGCATTCCTCAAAAGAACCTTCAAATGTCCAACTCTCCCACACATCAAAGCTGTGACTGGCAAAAACGAATTCTGTTTTCCTATTTATCTGCATTTTAAAATAGAGTTTGAGATAGTAACAAAACAGATATAATTGTTTATTTGTGCCTGTTCACATTATACGCTACACACCATTTTTAAAACTTGAGGTATATGCCATGAACAAATTGGAGAAAACCCAAAGAACAAAAACATTTCTTATTATTGTCACATGCTAATCTTCTTTCAATTCTTAAATCTCTAAGTGAGCCAACAAGAAGCAGGCATATTGGCAAGTTTACATCAAAATGTGCAAACAAACTGCTGCATTATGTCTGTTTAACCGGTTATATCACCAAAATAAGGGAAGAAACTCTGAGATACAGCACACATGACACCACCCTTGATCATACACCAAATAAAGCCAATGAGGCAGCACTAAAATACTACATAAAATGGGAGATGGTTGTGCAAGTAACAATACCTGCAACAATTTTCCTCCAGCAGTGAATGACCTCAGACCAATCGTATCCTGTAGAAACATTCATAAAATGCATAAGATGGGACAAAACTAGAAAACCAAACAAAAAAAGTAAAAGAATTTAGTGAAACAAACCTTGCTTCTGACAACGACAAGAAACTGGGCTGCTGGATCTCTTTTCGTCACATTTGGGACAGTGTCTAGGAACCAAGCACCTCCTTTGACTCGTTGGCGAGACACATGAAGTTGTTGACGATCTCTTGTGTATAAAGCTATAATAAAACCATCCTTCAAAAGTTCACTAGCTTTCCTATTAAAGTCCATGTTTGTTTTCAGTAGAGGTTCAGGAGATGATTCTGGCATTGATTCGACAGTTGTTCGTTTACTTCTAGAATCCTCAGGAGAAGCAAAACGAGAATTAGAACTTAACCCTTGCTCTGTACCACTCATAGCTGTATCATCCTCGTGATGCGAAGACTCTCTCTCATGCGTCAATTGTTCTTCTAGTTTTTGTTGTGATTTTTGACGGGCATGCCTTCTCTTAGTCTTCTTGCTTGATCTACTTCGTTTAGCCTCAGTTCTACTTGACGAACCTTGTGAAACAGAACCCTGGGGCTGGTTAGGAGATACCTTCATTTGATTTGAACCCTTTTTCTGAGAGTTTTCAGCATTTAATCTACCATCAGAAGTTAGCTGCTCAGAAACTGAACTTGGTAATCCACTTTCAGTGCCCCTAGTCAGCTGATGATGTTCCAGAGCTATTTCACTTTCTTCTTCATCGTCACTTACAGAATCCTTTGGAGTGACACCATCCAAGAAATAGGACTGCAGTATAGAAACAGCTTTCTCCCTTATCTCCAACCAGACTTCTTCACTGTAATCAGCACTACGTGGAAGAATCAAAACATTTGGCATCTCCCGCACCTGAAGTCAATTAAACGATCAGAATCACAAACCTCCATTTAAAACATATCTGAATGCTGATTTTACATAGACAACATGTAAAATTGAAAAGGACCCAATCTTTTCAAAGTCTATCTCCAGAAAACACATTGAAACTGCTAATAATTAAAGCTTATTTACTATCCAGAGTTTGCTTTAAGCCAGATTATAAATGTCTGAATCCCAAGAAATGTGCCTGACTCTCTTCCTAAAGAAACATGAGAGAAAAGAACAGTATGTCTTCCTAATATAATTCAAAGTGGAGCTTATGATATGGAATGACTACTTAGAGAAATTACGATTAAAAAGAAATTTGTGGATACAGTCCCTACAAAATTATGTAACCAGTTTGTTAGTAAACTTTAAAAGAATGTCCCCAAAAATATGCTGATTCTTTTGCATTATGCTGCCATCAGATCGCTCCAATTCACATTCCAGATACCCCAAACATTGAAAGAACACACAAAATCATGCATTATGTCAAACAACAAAAAACTTGGCATTAAAACATCTGATTTTTCCTGAAACCCTAAGCCTACACATCATACCCATGCTTCCATCCACTGAGGCCCATCAGCACCATCCAGAGCACAGCCCGCAAGAGTGCCATCAATCAAAAGCTGTTTCACAGCACAGTCATCTAACAGCTGGCTACTACCAGTGTTCACAAGAAATGCCCCTGTGAGGAAGAACCATCCTTAATAAATATAAACGTGTCTATTAGCAGAGTATATTGACTCCTGAATTTAACTAACTCACCAGGTTTAACATGCTGTAAACAATCTGCATTCATTATCTGCACCGTCTCATTCGTCAATGCACAATGTAATGATATGAGGTCACTGGCAGCAAGCAAGTCATTAAGTGTATCCATTCTCCGGGCAGCAGGAGGGAAAGTAATTGTTCTACTTATTTTGCCATTTCCCTATTACAAAGATTCAACAAAAATACAGGCAAAACAAGGTTAGATTCTCGTATTCACAGCTTTCATTCACAAATCCCTAAGACAACAGAAATAACCAAGGATTAGATAAAAACAATGCTGTAGACCATCTCAATGAATTAATGCACAGGCAATTGTTGCACTAAATAAGAAAGTGAAGCTCGGTGAGCCGTGAGCAAAAATGATATCCCAGGCCACTGCAGATGTGTATGCCAGAACCCAATCCCCACATCCCAATTTTTCTTTGGTAACAGAACTCCTGTTTTTCAATCTCTTTTACAATAATAAACCATCTACTCAAGACAAGAAATCCTACTTATGAACTTAAAAAGTATGCACTCGCATTTGCCTAGATATTTTTAAAGTCTTAAAGCAGATTTAACTGCAATACCAATGAATGATTCTAAAATTGAATTAAGTAGGAAGAAAGCAACAAACAATAACTAAAAATAAGGCACTTAAGTGAACAATCTCTTGTAATCACAATTCCAACCCCATTCAAGATTAAATCTTGAAGACCTAACACATTTGTTAAAAAGTAAAAGGAAATCAAAATTAGACAGTAAACAGGGAAAAAAATCTGTTCACAGACGTCCCATTTGAATTATACGATATTTCATAAGAACACAAACTTTAGGATTTAAGACTAGCAACACTCAACCTGTCTGATGAAATTGTGTCCAGAACATCAACATTGCAATAGAACAAGTCCACAGTTAATAAAGAAGTAACCATTTAACTTATCATACCTCATCAACGTCGAAGTAGAGCACGCTCATTCTAAATGCCAAGCTCCGATTAGCCAATGACCGGGCGGAAGCAGATCTACCCACGATCCCCAACACAAGACCGCGGCATCGGCGCATTCCACGGCAGAGAGGCTGGACGGAGCCGAGCCAACCAGAGGCGGACAGGGCATGGCGCGAAAGCAGGTGAGTCCGTCGAAGCAAGCCGAGAAACAAGGCCATAACCGTATCAGCAACCTCCTCCGCGCGGCTGACATCGACATGGACAAGCCGATTAAGTCCTAGATCAGCAGCAAGGGCGGAATCAACAGACCGGTCGGATGAACCGAGGCAGAGGATGAGCTGCCAAGGACGGAGGCGGCGCTGTGCCGCCCGAGGGAGGAATGCAAGGGAATGAAGAAGGACGGCGGAAGCAGACTCGATCCGCGCCTCGGCGAGACGGCTTAGGGAAACGTGCTCGACGGCCGCGACGCCGGAGAGACAGTCGGACTCTAGGGTTGAGTCCTCGATGCAGTTGAGTGTGACGACAAGCGGCAATGGCTGGGATTGGGAATTAGGTGGAGGTGTGGGGTTGTTACGGTGGGACATTGCCGGAGGAGATCTGGTTGTGGTGGTGGTGGAAGAACTTTCCTTCTTCACACCGCCACTCATTTTCAAAGTTTTAGAAAGAAATAAAATTGAATGAAAATTGGAGTCAAGTCAAATCAAAAAAAAATTGAGGGAAAGAGAGAGTGTGAATGAGTGTTAATCTTCTATGAAATTGAAAACCAGCTCATTTCTTTGGTTTGCATTTTGTGGGTTTTGTGTTCAAATTGGTGTTTTGGGTGGGAAGAGGGGGAGGAGGAAGAAGAAGAGGGAACTGCTGGTGGTTGAGTGGTTTTTTGCGGCGGAGACTGTGTGACTGTGTGTAAATTTTCCTGCGGGTTTATTGCCGCGGTCATTTCCATTTTGGCTCCACTTTTGGACACTTTTTTTTACCTTTTTCTTGTACTCAGCCATTTTGATTTTTAAAAAAATCTCATTATTAATTGAAAGTAAAACAATATACTTTTATAATTATTATCACAGTCTCTCGATTATTATAAAGTTATTTTAAAGTTTTATTTTTAATTAAAAATATGAGAAATAAAACTTATAAGAAATCGAAATGTCTTATAATAAGGACATGAAGGGATTGTTTTTTGTTTTTTTTTCCTGCAAATTAGATTGTACTATTTGTCATTTACGGTTAAAGACATTATTTTGTTTCAAAAAGGACGGTTAAACACATTGTAACTTCTTATAGAATTTGGTAAGGTTCATGATGATTGAATTTATATCGGCGCAACAACTTCAGTTGTAGTTAAATGACTTAAATCTGTATATTTGGTCCTAATGAAATTCAAATTTTCACCTTTGGGAATCATTGAACCTCACCGGCTTTAAAAATCTTAAGTAAAAGAGATCGAAGAAACTAATGTATGTATGTTGTGAATGGAAAATAATATGTATGGTGAAAATCTTACTATATATTAAGGGAATTTTTTTCACAAGACATATGTAAGTCAATTAGATCATCGAGAATTTTAAATTACACGTGTCATATTCTCATTCGTAGAGAATTTTATGCAGTTCACATGTATTTTTTTAATTCGTGAATTTTTTTACTGGGTATTTTATGCAAGTAACATAATTAATTTAAACATAGTCAAATAGTTATTTTCTTAAAAAAATAATTTCCTGCGAATTAGACTTTTGACGTCGACAATCTCCAAATTATCAATTTAACCAGAAAAAAATTCCGGCCACAAAGATCTGCGAACCCGCCACTTCGGATTTTACTTCATATATACATTGAATATAATCTTCATTGCCGACGAAAACATCACCGGATTTTAATGTAATTTTCATTACCGCCGAAAAACATCACCAAAAGATTATACACTGTGAATATCCACTTCCGAATATCCATGATTTCAGCGACTCTATCGATAATACCTCTCTGGCTATCTCTCCTATGTAAAGATAGGTGATGAATTCCATTTATTTGAGGTGCGAGGAGGTTTGATGGGGTGAATGATAGATAATGATGATACCGCGGTGATGATGGATGATGTAGTTATGGGAGAGAGAGAAGAGGGGACGGAGTAAGGGGGATAATGCGGCCAAAGTGGATTAAGAATCCTACACTCTAAAGGAAATTATTGTAAATTTTAAATGTAAAATTTTGTTAATCTTGACACAGAAGGAAAATTAGATAAGTAATCATCATAAACCAACTCTCTGAAAGATCTCCTAAAATTTTGAATTCAGAATGCAGTAATATATCATAGATGATAAATGAAATACTTTCAAAATCAAATCTCGAAAGTTTTCAAATCAAAATAATCTGTCAAAATTATAAATTTCAAAATTTGCCTCAAAGGATAAATCAAGTCTTAATGTTAAGATAGCAATATTTCTTTTTGAAATAGAATATAATACCTAAAAATGAAAAATCAATGGTAAAGTAAATATATTTCTTCCTCGATCCTTTTATGTAATTTTCATATTTCTTGGTTTTGAAAAATTTATTCTACTTTTTTAATCTCCCGTTGCTTAATTTTTAAAAATACTTTTTCCGTCTCAAAACTCAATGTGAAATATTTTTTTGGGACATAAGGAATAATAATTATGAATCTATTAATAAAATCATAATCTTCATAACGTAATAAAATTTTAGGGGCCCAATAGTATAAATTTGGAGAATTTTTAATATATCATCAATTTTTTACAAAAAAAAAGTTCTACCAATTATTGAGAATTATTAAAATTTTGAATTTAAACCACAAACATAAAAATATTTGTCATATTTTATAATCGAATGATGTGAAAAACCGGTGAACATATCCTAAAATTAAGAATATCATTATATAGTTAAAAAGTAATCAATCTATAAATATTATCAATCATTAACATATCGCACAACGTGCGGGAATAATACTAGTATATAGTGAAAAAAAATAGTGATTGATGTCTATATTCTTATTTTATTGTCATTTTGTTGTTTAAATTTTATCTTTCGGAAAAATTTGGCTAAAAGATGGTGGAACAAGTCAAATTAATAAAAAGAGTATGACTTTAAAGTATTTTTTATAAAGGGCGCTAGTTTATTAGTTACAAATCACAAAATTAATATAATTTTATAATGTCATAATTACCTTATTTTTTATTACCCATTGAGTAACAACCCCGCTGATTATTTCGGAGTCGGAGAGGAGTTAAAGGTTTACTAGAACTGAGTTTAAAGCACTCTGCTTGATTACATTCACATCAATCAACTCTTGGATTACCACAGTTGGGTCATAAAAACAGATCTTTTTTTTGCCAATTTGGCAAGCTTAGGCTTAGAGAGATTCTAAGAGGTTTGATAGGTCCCCGAGGAAATCCTTCCAGCCTGGTTGAACTCCGATTGAATCGGAGACGCGATTTGCGTCAATGACTGAGCTGAGGAAATAAGGTCACCACCACTGGCGTCAATGCCGCCGGTGATACTACGTACTACTTTTCGGCGCATTCGAAGGTGACTCGATGAGGACTTCCTTGAGTTTCTTCTCGGCTATGCTGGCAAACTCACTCATTCGATCTCTGTAAGAAGATGCTACTTTTGATAGGATTCGTATATTCAGTTTCTTAATCAAATCAATCTTTTTTTCTTGCAAGTAACATTGCGTTTCATATCTCCGGTGATGATCAGATTATTTCCTAAGAATAGTTTGATCGATAGCATTAAAATCGATTTTAATGATTAATTTTGATTTATTATTATTTTTTTCTTTGAAAGAAATTATAAGGACGGTACTGTCACCTTAAAGTACTTTTTATTATATGAATTTTAGCAAATTAGTTATCGCCCTTCATAAAAAATACTTTTAAGTCATTTTTTTTTGTTAATTTGACTTCTTTCACTGCTCTTTAGCCAGATTTTTCCTTATCTTTTTTCCAGAAATTGTACCTTTATTCCTAACTATTATTTACGCATAAATTATTGTGCAATTTCACTAAATATCTTTCATTGCCTCTATCATCGCTCGTCATGAATAACATCAAAAGACATTTTTATATTTTCTAGAAAATCTTTCAAATCACTATTTCTTTACTTTTGATTCGCCTCTAACCTTTCCAATTTTGGATGGATATTTCATCTACTTTATTATTTGAGTTCATATAGTTTAAAGTTGATTTTTTTTTTTTCTTAATGTTTCGTTTCGGTGAAATTCCTACTCTATCTACATTGGTTATTATCAAATCAATTTTTACTTTTTTAGGGTGAGTGAATTTTAATTTAGATTAAGGAATTAGGTTAACTGAAACATGAGTTTGCCGAATTTCCATTTCTAGTTGTCGGAATAGGAGGAATTAAGCTGATGATCATGTAGTTTCGCGATTTGTGACAACCAGATTGTAGTTAACTTTCACATTCTTTGGGGTAACTAGTTTTGGCTGAGTTTTTCACCTAAAAGCTTTTATTTTCATGGGAAAGGGTATCTTGATTTTCGACTCAAATAGAGGAGCATCATCTGGTGAATTGTATTAGTCACTTCCCGGATGAACTTCTTATATACTCCTTTCTATAATATAAGATTATTATCTTCATTTTTAATATAATTTACACTAAAAGTAAAAACCTAAATTGGATAATAAATTTTTTGTACTAAATGTGAAATCCCAAGTTAAATAATAATATTGGGACAAAGGAGTATACTCTTTGTTCTTTTTTTTTTTTTTTTATGGACAAGTATTCTGTCCAAATGTAGGAAAATGGCTGCCTACGAACAGACTCGATTTCCATGCAACCAAATTGTGAGAAAGGATGGAAGGATTAGATGACATTTGGTGAAGTCCCAAGTCCCAACTCCAAGTTAGACCAGTTAAAAAAACCAAAAGATGTTAGCCCAAAAACAAAAAGAAAGAAAAGGTAATTTTTGTCCAACCATAAAAGTAAGCAACCTCAGATGATCGAAGACCGACGCAACATGAATTGTCCAGTTGATAATCTTTTGAAGCAATATCATAGATACTCCAAACATAAAGTGGTTTAGGAGCCCACATTTTCCCAAAAAAAAAAAAAAAAACAACAGCAACCACAACAACAACAACTCTCTGTTGATGAGACATAGAAAACAAGCCACCTTTCAAATGCTATCAAGTAGATGAAATAAAGGGGTAAAAACCGTCATGATGGATTCATTGCTCATACAGATGGTAGGGGAAAAAATATCCTACATCAGGAACAACATTGGGTGATGTTCAAACTTCACAATGGATATAGCGGACGCACGGTACATCAGAAGAGACTCAAGATGATTATTTCTGAAACAACAGAAATTTACTGAACTATAGCCATATTGGTGACAATCAACAGCTGAGTAACATCGAATGTATTAAATAAGGTTCTCATTCATTTGCAGCTGCTTCCTCAGTGGTTCCCTCTGCAAACAAGACCAAAGACAGAAACATCAAACTCAATCAATCAGACACCAAATCAGCCATAAAACTAATTCCAGACGTCAAGGGTACAATATGACGACATCTGCGTGTCTCGTTGAAACTCAAACCATCTTACGAGACTCTGGATGACATATTCAAAATAGTGGAAAGCAGATAGTGAAAACGCTTACAGAACAAGATTATGTGTCATACCTTCACCATCTGCTGGAGCACAAGGAGACTTGCGATATCGAGTCTGTTGTTGTGTTGGCTGGAAGACCAAGTGGTGAAAAGAGAAGAAAAAAGTCAAATTCCATGTAGTCTATTGTGTAAATGCGCAAAGCAACACTCATAGAATTTCAGTGATAAGAATTGATTCCTATAACTCCAGATTTTTAGCCATCTCACAAGCAGCAAAAGGTAAACTTTTGCACTACACTTTTCCTCGTTAGCCATTTCAAACAAAATGAAAGGAATAGGACAAAAAGAGGCTAGAGCTTCTGAAAAATTAAATTGCAGTTCAAAGTGGAATTGAAGACAATAAAAAGCCTATAACCAGCCTGAAATGCAGAATCAAACATAAGTGATAGGACAACATGCATAAGTGACAGAGAACAAAAGATTTTAAGTACGTAAGGAAATTTTAGTCATTTGAGAGGACCCAATTATTAGGATATATAATCTCATGAACTGTTTCAAAATACAGGGTAGGAGGGTTGGGTGGGGTGGTTAGGGGATTAGGATGGGGAATGATTATTACCAGGAGGTCGACCGATCGATTCTCGCTGGGCCATCCAATTATTATTATTATTATTTTTTAAGAACTGTTTCAAAATACCACTATAACGACAACAGTTCTAAGCTTCCAGCCAGAGTAAGGTTAAATTGAACCAGTTCCATTCACTTTTATCATCTCAATGGGGCAAAGTTCAAGAGGGGTCAATAGGAACATCAAAATTCCATCCGACATCAGTGATCCCCCACTTGAAGGGCTGCAGATATCAAGGACTTTCCCAAAAGCTTTAACATTTTCAAATAGTCAATAACAGATAGATGAAGTAACTAAAGAGTCCTTAGACTATTAAGGGAAACTTAAATTAGCACTTGTAAAAGGACATGTCGGATTAAACCCTTCTTATTTTCTATAAACAACAGCTCAATACATGCCTTTTGGATCGAAGAACAAGCAAGCAGCTATAGCAAAAACCTTTTTGCTTTTTTCTTTCTTTTTTTCCTGGTTCTATAAACTGCCCAAGTGCCCATTAGTTTAACACAGATGTGGCAATTTCCACAAGGGACTGGACAAAACACTCTTTTAAAAAGAAACTTCAGACAAATCAGATATAACATGTAGAAGATCAAACATTTTGGTGCAACTTCCAAGCAGCACTAGGTAACTGAAAAGGAGAAACCCAGAAAAATAAACTTTGACAATACCTGTAATTTTGGCCTCAGTGCCTGAAGTGGTCCTTTAGGCTTATCTGCACCTTGCTACAGCCATGTTTAATTGCAAAGTGTAAATCCCATAATTGCTAGACTTTTATAAGTACAAGCATAACGTAGATCCATCCAAACTACAATTCGAGAACAGAGAAACCACAAGTAAGTTATAGCAAAGAAGAATACCTTTCCCAAAGCCCAATCAGCAGAGTCAAAGTAAGCACGCTCATGATCCTGAAGCAAACAGAAGTTTTCTTCAGATAAAGCAGAGACTAGTCTGACATTCTAGGCATCAGCATAATGAGAATTTCAGATTCGAGTGACATCAAAATATGTAAGGCATGCATCACCTTTGAGATTAGAGGTGGCTTCTTAGGCACAATACCTCCATACTTTTTCTTGACAACTTCTTCCTAAGGAGGGAAAAGAAAACTTGTAAAATAGGCTTCAATTATAGATCTTATGTCAGAAAAAAAGATAAGATCAAAAAATAACCTCCTGTTTCGGTGATGGCATGGCTTTTTCGGAATCCTCAGTTGCATTTCCCACTACATGATCTTTGACTTCCTCCATGCCTGACATACTTTTTTTTTCTTTTAATCCTCCTATAGTAATCAAAAGCTGCAGAGGGAATCAACATTAATACAATAAAATTTATAAAAGAAATGCATTGGAAAAAGTTCGACATTCAAAAAAGCAGAGCAAGATAATTTCACAATTTGCCCAATCATGTCCATTATTTGGCATATAAGTGCATAAAACACGTATAAGAACTACTATCCTTTCTGCAGGAACAACCCATAAAATGTGGGAGGGTCAGTTAAATTATACAGGTTTGTTGTTAGGACAAGTCACGACAGAGTACAGTACAATGCTGAAGCTAATAAGAACGAGATAATAGCAATGTTTTTATTCTTCGGAGTACACTTAGTTTTAATAATTGAGCTATAAACCAAACCATATAGGAAATGATACAGATACGAAGCTAATTCCAAATCTCATACTCAAAATTATACCCAAATCATAATTCCTCCTCAGAATGAAATCAAAAAAATGTTTACTTAATTCTAATCAACTTCAGGCCCTGATTACCAACATAATGTCCAATAAATCCAGTTGTCTTTCCGAACAATTTTCAAGCTCAAATCCTCAACCTACTCCCAAATAACAAATTACTGATTTGATCCTACTCCCAAAAAATAAATTACTAAAGGAAAAACCCACTGATGCGCGTTCACAGATAGCCAGAAATTTAAAAACAGAATAAGAATCATACGAAATCAACAGAATCAAACGACAAGCTAGGGAGATCTCTCCCACACAAAATTAATTAATTAAATATATTAATTCTCATCGATTATCAAATTCCGTAGCTGAATATTTCTCAAAGATCTAAAACGGAAGTTTCTATACATCAGACAAACAAAGATTGGTTCGGAAAAATCGGCGAAGTACCAAAAGTGTGAACGGAGAAAGGGAACAGATCAAGCAAATCGAATAACAGCAAACAACTGGAAAGTAAATGGTAATAACAATTTTCCACTGAGAGAAATAGGAACAAACTAAAACGTGATTTTATTTACCGAACTGAATTGAATCGAGGTGATGAATTTCACGCCCGGTCACGGGGTCGATCGAGCGTGTGTGGTCGGTTTGTTGTTCGTCGCGCTTGAAAGAGGAGGAGAGATTGTGGATATGTAAATCGGGTGTAAATGGGCGGAGGGAATATTGATATTAATTGTGTTGGTTAAACAGTAAAAATAAATAAATAACAAACTAAGTTCTGAACGTGCATTTGCACGGTATGAAATTATTATCGAATTTTGTTAAACTTATATTTTTAAATGTTATAAGTATAATTTTCATGTTATCTTAATGTCTTATAATATTATTTTATTAACAAAGACTCAATTAATCATATTTATAATGTCCTACGGAAAAATAAACTTAGAAGCCTCAATGAATATAACTAAATTTCTCACATAATAGATAACAATTAAGGAGTATTATTATACAATATAGCTAACTGTGTTTACCTTTTTCCGGTAGACCACACTTAAATGTGGGTAAAATCCCCCCCTTATATACCCCTTGGTGGGAATTAAACCCAGATCTAATTCCAAGAAGCACACAACATCCTAACCATTGGGCTCTCATTCAATTATCTCATATTATATCAAAAATCACTACTCCCTCTGATTTTAATTATAAAACATTTTGATTTCGTCCTAAAATCTAAGATTTTTTTTTAATTAGAAAAAAAACTTAAAAATATATTTTCACATTCGTTGTGTTCTCCTAATGATTGTGAAATATTTTTAAGGTTTTTATTTCAATTAAAAAGACATTCTAGGTGATTCCTAGGACGAAATCAAAATATCTTATAAAAAAAACCGGAGGGAGTATTTCGTACTAATTTAATCTTATAGTCATCAACAAGTTAAAAATTTTAAAAAGAAATCCAAAATTTACTTGACAGTTTATTAAATTTTACATTAATACACTCGTTTTGGGGTGTTCATTTTGTAAAGAATTTGACTTATTTTGGCTTTTTTTTCTGATCAAATTTGTAGTTAGAATATTGTAACGATAATGTATCATTGAATCCATGTTAAATCTAAATATATTTTTTAAAACACTTTTCACTCACACTACTCAACCATGTACTAACTCATGATATTACTAATAAGGTGTTCGAAAATTCTACATAGTTTTAACTTCCCACTTACACTAAATTCATATCAAAATCATTATTTCTATGATACCGTACTAATTTAATCTGGTATTCATCAACAAGTTGAAAATTGAATAGGAAAGCCAAAGCTCACGTGACAGGTTATTGAAATTTTTAATCTTGTGTTCATCAACAAGTTGAAAATTGAATAGGAAAGTCAGAGCTCACTTGGCAGGTTATTGAAACATTAATATACTATTGTAGGGGTGTTCTTTCATTTCTTAAAAACTTTTACTTCTTTTGCCTTTTTTTTCCTTCTAAAAATTCGTATTTACATGTGGTAATGATAATTCATCATCTTAAATATATTCTGTAGACACTAAGTAACTCACGATACAAAACAACAAACAAACCCATGATTTCGTTGATGGGGTGTTCGAAAGTTCTACAGAGTTTTAGTTTTTCTCTTACACTATGTTCTTATCAAAATCATTATTTCAATAATATAGTCCTAATTTAAACTTGTGTTCATCAACGAGTTAAAAATTTATAAATAAAGTCAAATTTCAGTAGGCAAGTTATTGAGTCTTACATTAACACACTGGTATTGAGGGTGTTCCTTATTTCTTAAAAAGATTTTAACTGATTTTGGTTGTTTTTTCTTATGTTTTGAAAACAGGATCGGATCGGGCAGTTGAATCGGTTCAACCGAGAATCGGAGGCCTCCTCGGTCCAATTTCGGTTAATTACCGGTAAAGTTGAAAACCGTTCAAACTCGGACAAAAAAACCGCAATTAGACTGGGAACCGGTACCGGTTGGACCGATTTTGTTAAATTTTGAAAATAAATTATTTTTTTAGCCGGTTTTGACCGATTTTTAAGACCAATTCAAACCAGTTGAACTAGTGAATCAATGAACCAGTTAAGTTATCGGTTCACCTTTCGGTCTGGTTTTCAAAACAAAAGTTTTTTCTAGTCAAATTAGTAATTAGTATGTTATAATGATAATTAGCGCTAAATTCATAGTAAATCAACATAATTAACTCACACTACCCAACCACAGATTAACTCATTATTTAACTGATGGAGTGTTCAAAAATTTTACATAGTTCCAGCTTTTTTTAACACTAAATTCATAAAATCACTATTTTGATGATACTTTAATAAAATAAACTTGTGTTCCTCAACAAATTTAAAATTAAAAAAAAAGTCGAAACTAATAGGATAATGAGCCTTACATTAATTTTTGGGGGTGTTCCTTCATTATTTGAAGATTTTAACTTATTTTTGCTCTTTTTTCTATCAAATTTGTTACTAGAATGTTGTGATAATAATTTAGCCTTAAATCCCTCGGAAATATTAATTAACTCACACTACCCAATGACATACTAACTCACGATTTCCCATATGAGGTGTTAAAAAATTCTAAATAATTCCAGCTTTCTTTTACACTATATGTATATCAAAATTATTATTTCTATGATACACTACTAATTTAATCTTGTGTCCATAAACAAGTTGAAAATTAAAAAGGAATGCCAAATTTCACATGGCAGATTATTGGGAATTACATTAATATACCAGTATTGGGGGTGTTCTTTCATTTCTAAATTTGTCTACTTAGTTTGGCTTTTTTTTTTTCTAATAAAATTCGTGATTAGCATGTTGTAATGAAAATTCAACTTAATACTGGTATTGGGGTGTTCTTTCATTTCTAAATTTGTCTACTTAGTTTGGCTCTTTTTTCTGATAAAATTCGTGATTAGCATGTTGTAATGATAATTCAACTTTAAATTCAAGGCAGATCTAAAATATATTTTTTAAGCATTAGTTAACTCACACTACCAAATGACATACAAACTCGTGATTGCATTAATGGGGTGTTTGAAAATTTTACGTAATTCTAGCTTTCCTCTTACACCATATTAATATCAAAATAATCACTTTGACGATATACTGCTAATTTAAACTTGTGTTTATCATCAAGTTGAAAGTTAAAAGAAAAGTCAAATTTCACTTGGCAGGTTACTGAGCCTTATATTAATATAGGGGTATTCATTCCTTTCTTAAAAATTTTGACTTTTTGGCTCTTCTTTTATAATCAAATTTGCAATTAGGATGTTATGGTCATAATCAAGCGTTATAACCATTGTAAATCTCAATATATTTCTTAAACACTTTTAACTCACACTATCCAACCACATACTAGATCATGATTTCATTGATGGGTGTTGAAAAATTCTAAAATCTTTCCATCATTCCTTCTAACCTATATTAATATCCAAATCATCATTTCTATAATACAGTACTAATTTAATCTTGTGTTCATCAACAAGTTGAAAATTAAAAAGGAAAGCAAAAGTTCACTCGGCAGTTATTGAGACTTACATTAATTACTGGTATTAGGAGTGTTTTTTCATTGCGTAAATTTTTTTTTACTTATTTTCGCTCTTTTTTCTGATTAAATTCATAATTATCATGTGGTAATGATAATTGAGCAGTAAATCATAGTCAGATCTAAATATATTTTTTAAACATTAATTAACTCATAATACCAAACAATATACAATCTCATGATTGTGTTGATGGGCGTTTGAAAATTATTCATAATTCCAACTTTCATCTTACACTATAATCTTATCAAAATTATTATTTCGATGATACAATACTAATTTAAACTTGTGTCAATAAGTTGAAAATTAAAAAAGTAAAGTCATTTAAGCCTTACATTAATACACTAGTATTAAGGGTGTTCCTTCATTTCTTAAAGATTTTGACTTATTTTGGCTCATTAAATATATTCACGGTTGTCTAGACTCATTCGTGCCAGATATTGCTCTAATAGTAGTTTTCCTCCTCTGAGGACTTCAAACAATCCATCGTGGAGATTTAAAAGTATCATGCGGAGAGCAGAACTACTTCAGCAACATACTAAATGGAAGGTCATTTCAGGGCGAGATATATCTCTTGCCGCAAACTGGATTCCAAACCATGTTAATCCCATTAATAATGAGTCAATTTTGGCCACTCATTCTAATATGAGAGTTTATAATTTCATCAAGCCTAATGGTTAATGGAATTAAACTCTCAGGATTATCTTGAGATGTTTCAAGCTTTATTGTTTGATGCGCAGAGTAAGCAAGTAACCAGCGAAGCTGTGAAACTTTGGCTGAAGAGAATATTCAGTTCAGCTACTCTTGATGCTCATATTGTGTTGCATGAATTCAGATACGAAGTTCTTCCTCAAATCCTGTTTATTTCCGTTCTAAAATGGCTCACAAGATAAAGGATGTTCTGTCGTCCTTTGAAGAGCTTTATGTGCAATCAAATCAAATTGGCCTTCAAGCGGGGCAATTGGTGAGCTCAATTCCTAATGAAGAACAAATGAGATTATCAGTTTTTTTTGTGGAGGACTCAAAGATTGTGGGTAGGGAGAAAGATGTTTTAACAGTTACACAAATGTTAACTGCAATTGACTACAAGCTACAAGATTTAGAGGTCGGAATGAATGAAACTAAAGCCTTGCATGTATCGCTCACTTCATGATCTGACCAACCATAGAATTCAATGAGAAACTCACTATAATCAAGCTTCCCAACTTGAGTGTTTTTCCAAACTTTGGTAGACTATTAAGTCTCGAGGAGTTATGTGTAGGGAGCTGCCAAAATGTAAGAATTCAGAGTGCGGAGTGGAATAGAAGGGGTGGTCTTGATTCTGATGATATCCAATACCACTTTCCCATCATCACATCATCTACAACTCGAGGATTGCGACAAGTTGGGTGCATCATTTTCCAGTCTCATCAAGAGTCGCAATTCCAGTCTCATCATTTTCCAGTCACATCAGCGTGGACATGCGGAATGAATGAAACATTCCCGACTTGATATCGGTGACAATATCCGTCCAGAGTTGCATTACTAGCGAGTTGTGATTTCCATTCCAATTTCTGAGGTATCATTGAATATATTCCAGCTGTTAACCCTTTTGCTCCATCAATTTTTTTTTTTTTTAATTTATAGATTTTTCTGGTTAAAGTTGCCATCATTCCACTGAAAGGATAGCCAGTTTTTGTTAGTTTTAATGGAAAACGCAACCAATACCCGCCATTACCCTTTAACTGAAAACCAACTATTAGACTTTCATGTTCTTTCTTGAATTATTTTTTTTTTCTCAGACAATGAAAAAAAAAAAGGGCAACAAGAGCTATTTACAATCATTTCTTCACCAGTTCTATAAGCAGAGCTGTTTTCTTGCGGTGCAGCCCAGACAACGCCCATATTCAACTTGATGAAGTTTTCACTTGAGAAGGAGGAAGATCAAGAGTCAGATAAACTTTCTTCAGTCCGTTAATAAGATCCTCAAACATGGGCCAGTTCTTAATGTGATTTGTAATGTGAAGAATTTGATAACTGGAATTTGAGCTTACAGTATGACAACAAAGTAACTTCTCCTTTTTTTTTTTTTTTTTCCCTTTTGGTTTTTAGATTTCTTTTTTATTTGATGAACAGAGACTTGAATTGTTAACATTTTTAGGTTGCTGAGTACGAATTTTATTTTGCAGTTTTAAAACTTATGGGTTGATTATCTGGCCATTTTATTTCAGAAGTAGAATCGTTTAGGTGCACTGTCATTTTCTTCTGAGAGGTAATTATGTCCACAGTTTTAGCCTTAGAAAACCATGTCATTTTAATCAGCCGTATAGAATGAATTGAGCACCTTGAATCCAAAGCTTAGACTTAGAGTTTGGCAGGTGTATTTTGCTGCCCTGAAATTATGTACGAGCTGATTATATACTACTCCTGCAATAATTTTGGGACAGAGGGAGTACCACATTTCGTCCCAACACTCTAATTGAATATAGGAGTTTCTAATTTGAATAGCTTTCTAGCCGTAAGAGAAAGTCCATTAGTTGTTTTGATTAAAAGAAAAGGCAAAACTCGTGTTTCCATTGGTTAGACAAATAGAAGCCATGTAAAAGTTCACAACATTTGATCTGATCCAATGCTTTGGCAGGATAGGAAGAAGACTCAAAAACAGCTTGAACAAATTATTATTATTTTTTCAGCACAAAAGTTTCTAAGGGAGCTTGTTCGTGGTCCAGCTGGCCATAGGCAGCAGAATGTCGAAGAGGAATGTCGGTTATTGTAAATGGAGGACATAATTGAGGTGTGCTTTAATATGCTTTTCGAAGGATTCTTTATCACATGATGTTGCAATGATTCAAAGTCATTGTCTAAGTTTTTTCATCCTTCAGAAAATTATTTGTTATTGCTACTCCACTGCAACAACTTGGGGAAGATATCTTAAAAGGGTTGGATAAATTAGTGATGTGCTATTCCTATTGGCTCTGCAATTGATTTTGTCTTATATTTTGTGGACTCAACTGCAAAATTAATCTCAAATGTCAAGTGTATGTCTGATCACATTTCCTGTATAATTACTGGCCTCTTTATAAGTGATTCTATATATGTGTTACTCAGAAGTTGAAGTTGACTAATTGGAAAACAAAAAATGTGTTCATGTTTGTAAGAATTCGAAAACCTTATTGAAAGCAATGCTGTTTGTTAGGACAATAATATCTTAAAGCTTTTAAGGATGAATTACATAAGCTTCCATTACCCGATCAAACAACCTTGTCCTGAGACTTTTACGGGCCGCTCTAGTCTTCTCAAAAAAATAAAAAATAAAAATTATTTGGTAGGCTTTCAGTTGAAAGCAAAGACTTCCATATAATGAATGCAAAATGAGAACTTTGGGAGGAAGTCAGCTTAGTGCATATATATATATATATATATGTATATATTCCTTCTTCCTATTTTATAACCTTTTAAAATTTTCATTTTTCTTACCATAAAGAGTAAAGGCTGTATTGGACCTGTTTAAAGAACAAACAAGTGCTACATGCAAGGAATATAGCAACATAAGTTTTACAATGAATTGTATGTCTCGGTGTTTTGATTTAAGTGGCAATTGGAATTTTATAAGACTCGCCACTCATGTCCAGGGTATTACCTACAAATCACATGATATGGAGTTGAAAAAACTTAATTCCATCTAGTTGTTGTTGTTTTCCAACTCTTTCTTGAGGTGGTGGTGATTACAATCTACTTTCAGTGATTGGTGAAAACAATTTATTTGTATATTATTCATATATGTTGATCAACTTTTGTGGCACATTTTGTTTGCTGCGGTTGCTCGTCATTATCTAGACCTTTTAATCACAATTATTTGTTAGTTTGTTACTAATATTTGGTTTCACGATGCACACAATTACTAATCACAACTCACATGCACATTGTTTTTGGCTGATCTCTTTTTAACCCTACCAAAAGTTTAAAACATTTTTTTTTTCTGATGTCTCTCTTAATTATCGAACATAGTAAAATGATGAGATTAATCAATTAATTATCAATGGATCAAAATTTGCCGGCCGTGTTTTCGTCCAAACTCTGCAAATTAAACAACAGCGCTATAGAAAGTGGTTTTGCATGATCAAAAGCTCATCATATTTGCTCCCTGAATCAGTTTATTTTGAGTATTCTCTCTGTTCTTTCATTTACTCATTTGATCAAGATGGTTGATGCAGCAATTGGGATTACTACTGAAGCTGTGTTGAAAAGGGTGGTCTCACTTGCTGCTGAAGAAATCAGTTCTGCATGGGGTGTGAAGAAAGACCTCGAAAAATTTTCCGCGAAGCTTGAGATGATTCAAGCTTGGTTGTCTGATGCGCAAAGTAAGCAAGTGACTAGTGAAGCAGTCATACTTTGGCTGAAGAAGCTGCGGTCAATCTCCCTTGATGCTCAGATTTTGTTGGATGAATTCGGCTACGAATTTCTTCGCCAAAAGATTGAGAGGAACAAGGTACGCATATGGTTTTCACCCTCTAATCCTGTTTCTTTCCGCTTTAAATTAGCTCATAAGATCAAAGATGTTTTGGCATCCATAGAAGAGCTATATATGCAAGCAAATAAAATTGGCCTTCAAGCAGCGCAACTGCCAAACTCTCTTCCTAATGAAAAGCTGATAAAGGTGACACTACAGTTCCTTATGTGGAGGACTCAAAGATTGTTGGGAGAGAGGATAATGTCTTAGAAGTCACACGCATGTTAACTGGATCCGAGTACAAGGAGGACTTACCAGTCATTACCATCCTTGGCATGGGAGGTCAAGGGAAGACGACATGGGCGCAACTTGTTTACAAAAGTGACAGGATTAAGAGTTATTTTGATGAGGTAATATGGATTACTGTTTCTGATGATTTTAATGTTAAAAGATTGTTAGCTGAACTGATCCAGTCTTCCCCTGAAACCAGTTACCGCTATGCTACTATAGAGGGCTTAGTAGATAAGCTGAAAGAGCATTTCAGGGGTAAAAGATATTTGTTGGTATTAGATGATGTTTGGAATGAAAACGTAGAAGATTGGAATCAAATGAGAGCTTGTTTGCTTGAAATTGGTGGTTCTAGAGAGAGCAAGATCTTGGCCACGACACGCAAGGATGATGTTGCTTCGGCAATGAGAAGTTCCAGATGGCACCGGCTTAATGTACTCTCCGAAAATCAGAGATGGAAATTATTTGAAAAATATGCATTTGCAGATGGAGGAGCTACTAGGACGCCACAATTGGTGGATATTGGGAAAAGGAATTTAGAAAGGTGCCGAGGCGTGCCTTTAGCTATCATGACGATAGGAAGCCTACTGTATAAGAACCCTGAATCACACTACTGGTCACTCATTGAAAGGAGCAAAACATGGAGTACATACGGTGAAGGAAATAGGGTTCTTTCTCCCTTAAGTTAAGTTATGACCATCTTCCTTCATTGTCACTGAAACAATGTTTTGCATATTGTGCTATTTTTAAGAAGGGCGCAGACATTGAAAAGGATAAACTAATACAACTGTGGATGGCGCATGGTCTACTTAATCCTTCAAGAGGAAGTCACTTACAAATGGAGGAGATAGGTAATATCCGTTTTCGTAATCTTTTAAGGAGTTCTTTGTTGCAAGATCCCGTTTTTGATGATGAGTCTAACGTAATATATTGCAAGATGCATGATCTTGTGCACGATGTTGCCTTACAAGTATCAGAAAATTACTTTTGCCATGTGAAAGAATGGGAGGTCAGAAGTAATGAAATCGAAGCCATGCATGTATCACTTGATTCAACTGAGAAGGGAATGCTGAAGGGTTTGCAAGGTTTTCTCCCTTCAAAGTTGCAAACACTTCACTTGACATGTCTAGACCTGCCCAAAGATTTGTTTGAAAAATTTCAATGTTTGAAGATTTTGATGGTTCAAAATTACAATTTAAGTGAATTACCATATTCAACTGGCAAGATGAAACATTTAAGATTTCTTGACATTAGTGGCACTCGTATAAAAACGCTTCCCAAGTCCTTCACAAGACTCTACTATTTGCAAACTCTAAGAGTAAACGATTTGAAAGAGGTACCGAAGGGATTTGAAAATTTGATTAACTTAAGGCACATTCATATGGAGAGAACCTCTGGAATTCTGTTTCCAGGATTAAGACAGTTGAGGAATCTTCAAACACTCCCTTTCTTTAAGGTGGGTAGATGTGAGGGTTTTCAAATTGAAGAGATAGAGCACTTGGACAATCTTGGAGGTGCATTGAATTTATTTGGCCTTCAAAATGTGGGGAGTTATGAATCTAGTATAAAGTCCAACATATTTAAAAAGTCAGACATTCGAAGTTTAGAACTTCATTGGGATAGGAGGGGCGAAGAAGACAATGAGGAAGACAGTGATGTTATGGAGGGTTTGAAACGTCATTCGTATTTGAAAAGTTTAAGCATCTATAGTTATTGGAGCCCAAAGTTTCCATCCTGGATGGGTGGGGAGAGTAATTTGTTACATAGTCTGGTGAAGCTGAAACTTGAGAATGTGGACAAATGTGACACACTCCCGCCACTCGGTTGTTTGCCTTGTCTTGAGGATCTCTGTATATGCTCGTTAGACAATGTGAAATGCATCGGAATAGAATCTATGGCTGGTTAGATCATGATCAGTGGAAGACTAAAGGCGCCATTGTAGCGAGCAGCCGAAAAATCATCACTCAATTTCCAGCTCTTAGGAATCTTCAATTGAATCAGATGGCAAGTGTCATGGAGTGGTTGGATCCAATCGAAATTCTGCCAGCATCACACGGATCACTAGTGTCATCGCCGGTTCAAGTTAAAGCATTTCCGTGTCTAAAGCTTATGAGTATAGGCAACCTTCCCAACCTCAGTGTTTTCCCAAACTTTAGTAACCTATCAAGCCTAGAGTCATTAGATGTATGGAATGGTCAAAATCTGACAATTCCATGTGAGGATTGGAATAATATGGATCTTGGTTCTCATGTGCAACATTACTTCCCATTCTTACATCGTCTAAGTCTCAACCATTGCGACAAGTTGACTGCAGCATTTTCAAGTCTCAACACGTGTTTGGCGCCACTTAGGTCATTATTTCTACTTGGCCGTCCTGATTCATGGCTTAAGGCTCCGCAACACTTAATCAACCTGGATTACTTAGCTTTGGGAGCACCAATGGAAACTGAGGATTTGGAACTTGTTTATTACCCTTGGCCATATCCAATGGGAGGTTTTCCATTTCTTACTTTCCTTGGGTTGTTTGGTTATCATATGCCTAAAGTTATATTCCTCCCTAGTCAAATCCGGTATTTGACTAGCTTGGTCGAATTAGAGATATGGTGTTTCCATGGTTTGGAGGATCTCCCAGAGTGGCTTGGTGACTTAGACAGCCTTCAAAGTTTGGTTTTGGGGGGTTGTAGAAAGCTCAAACAACTACCCTCCGCAGAAGCATTTCAACGCCTCACCAACTTAAAAGATTCTATATATACAAGACTGTCCTCTCTTAAAAGAGAACTGTACTGAAGGAAATGGCTCAGAATGGTCCAAGATTGCTCACATTCCAGACTTACTTATCCGGAACAACTAGCCACTTCCGTTGCAATATGTGAGTATCCAACCATCCATGGAATTTATTCCAACTAAACTTTTTGCTCCCTCAATTTTGTACTTCAACTTCTGCAGTATAAATTGCAATTTGTTTTTCAGAGTTCCAACGGTTACAGGATGGTCGATCGACTGGGCACTTTATTCCAGGAGTTTCTTTGCCTTCTTCAAGCGCGCTATCATTTCCCTTTTACGGACCAAGTTGAGGTGATCATCATCTTTTCTCTTGCTTGCTGTCCAACTTGAATCCAAACTTAGAACTGGCAGGTTTATTTGCTGCTCTGAATTTCATCTTTTTAGGCTTGGTCAAGTTTTTTTTTTATTTTCCTGGACTGATTATGAAATGCCACATTAATTCCAACAATATAATATTTGTCCCTTGAATACAATAGCTACTAAGCTCTTTTGATTCCCTGGTTTTCTCTCAATAGATGGCAAGAGTACCGAGTTTCTTCAACTGGATAAACAACGTGAATTGTGGGCACTTAAACATTGTGTACATCTGAAAAGTTTTATTCTCCAATTTTTGGGCAGGCTCGAACAACGGCTTGAATGAGCTTTTATTTTTCAGCACAAAAGTTGCTCCACAGGACCGTGTTCGTGGTGCAGCAGGCTAGAGACTTCAGAATGTCCAAGATGAATGTGAGTTATATTGTAAATGGAGGACATCAGGGAGGTGTTCTCTTATATGCTTTTTTAAGGAACTCCTTATTACATGCTACTAGTATCAATCTCAATAATATTAGATGTTGCTAAGATGCATAGCTCTTGTCCAAGTTTTTTCATCCTTAAGAGAACAATTTGTTACTGCAACTCCACATCCACAATTTGGTGAACATAACTGAATAGATTGATAAATTAATTTGAGTTCCATCTGCCAGTGATGTGGTATTCCCATTCCCTCAACCCTGCAACAACTTTTTTTCTACTGCGAAACTGTATCAAGTGTATGCATCCGATTGCATTTTCTGTATGATTCACTAGCTCGTTTAAGCATTTCATTGGAGCAACTATTGTGTTTAAACTTCTTGCAGAAGTGACCGAGTACAGAATCGTTTTCATATTTGACAAATTTGAGTAGCAAAATCCTTGGCATGTTTAGAGCAATGCTGCTCTTGGGACAACATTATTTTTTTAAGTCTGCAAATATGGATTACAAAGCCTTACCTTACATTAGCTAACTACCTTGTCTTGAGACATTTTAAGTGAGGATCTCTCGTCTTCGCGACAGACATTATCAGAAGCAAAGATTTCCTTACAAGAGAATGCAGTCTCTTCAAATTTTACATTTAACTCTCTGCAATGCAATCAGGTTGTGGTGAATTTGTTTGCTGTAGAGAACAACTGCGGCGGTGGCGCAATGTAGATTTTGCACTAATGGTAATAGCAAACTTGGATACATAAACAAAGGCAACAAGGATGGTTGTTGAGTTTCGTCTTTCAACAGAGGTAATCAGTAGTCTATATTCTTGCTGATCATCCCTTCTCATAGATGTTGGCATCTGTAAATCAATGAATATCTCAATTTAAGGAAACATTCATAAAGAAGAAAAAAAACAATGGATTGAAAAATACTAGCGTGACTAATATGGAAATGTGAAACTTACTGCAGACATTAAAGAAGAGAAATGGCCATTCATTTCCCTATTCCTTTCCTCCGGAGAATTTTCAGCAGAGAAATTTCCCCGAAAATCTTTAGTTTCTTGCGAGATGTATATCGTAGTGTAGGTTATAATCTGTATTTTATTGCATATTGTAGGATCCTCTGGGGACTTGGATGTACATTGCTCCGGTTTTTCAATCTCTCCTTGCATCATTGTCTCTATTTTCGAACCCAGAGATTGCACATATATCTGTAGCAGCAGGATTTGCTTATGTTGATCAGTACTTAAAAGTTCATAATCTAGTACTAAAATTGCAATAAACACGGTGTGAAGTGAAAGTGATCGAATTTGAAATAGTAGAGAAACTCACGTGCTTAAACTAATAAGAAAAAAAGAAAATAGTAGAGAAACTCAAGGGGAAAAGTACTATAAGAACTCAATACAACATTAGAACAAAAGCACACTCAGGAAGCTCTAACCTGAATGAGGAAAATAAATAGACACAAGCCGTAGAATGAAATGAAGATGGCGAAGACATTGTCCAAGATATAACTGCTCGTCCTGAGGCTTTCTCCCAAGGAACTGAAATGAAAAAGAAAGGAAATAATTAGGCATTATGATCCCAGCTCGCCGGGCATTGTTATCAGTTTCTAGTGATCTGTTTACACATTGCCTTGGTGAACATCTTATATTAACAATCTAAACTCAAGGATACGTTTTGTTACATGTTAAGCAGACTCTTATCACTAAATATAGCAACACAGATGATCGAAAAAATTTAATCTTTGTTGAGAGCTAACCTTAAGTTTCGCAAGCTCCACCAGTTGCAGTAGATATACTTTTGCAAAATGTTTCGATTTTCTGCCACCTTAGATTGCAGTGCCTCCAGGACTATGCCGAAATCAAAATCTGTTGGCTCTTTCATCTCATTGGGTTCAAGAAAATGGCAAGAAGAATTTAGAAATGAATAGTCTCCTACGCGAACTGCTCCACACTTCAAAGTGTCAGGATTGCAATTGTTCTTGGCGCAAGATATGCGCCAGCATGCATCTACTCGCATAATCGTATAGAAGTACCACAAGGCCCCAAATCCCTGAAATAAACATTCGCAACGATCATTAATTAGGACACAAAAATCATCATTCCACAAAAATTACTTACAAAATATCAGAAGATCTTTGGGGAAACTTACATTAATGGTTACCACACATACAAACACACCAAACGCGAGACCAGTGAATGAGGCTGGACGGAATATCCTGGAACCGTTTGGTAATTTCAAGTAAAATTTACCAGCATTAATGATTCTATTGATATAATGTGGGATCAAGCCAACCACCAATGGGTTCCTCAAGAATGATGAAATTGGTGCATTTACTTGTGGGGCTATAATGAAGATAACCACCTGAAAGAAATCAGAAAATTTTTCTTCAGAAGACTACTAACTTGTGAATTAGAATTCATCAATCTGGTAGAGAAGCCAAATGACTGATAAACTTTTGACGCGAATACAGCAACTCTCTACTCACCTGAGGGACGGGAAGAGCTGATAAGACGTCCAAAATGAAGGAAGGATTCAAGCATATTAATCTAGAAGATGTAGCATTACGATAATATCCATTGCAAGATTTCCGAATAACATGAAGTATGTAGATAAAGTCGATACATGAACGAATAGCACACATCGTGATCTTCCAAGCCTTGTCCGAGTCAATGCACTTGCTGTTGTTGTCAATCACAAACATGTAAAAGAATAAGGGATCTAGAAACAGTGCAATCCCAAAACAGACGGCGAAAATGGTATCCCATCGCTGATCATCAGAAGGATCGGCTTTTTTCGCGCTGATACTGCTTATTACTTCTCCTGATCCCTCATTTTGAGTTAAGGAACAGACATTACTAGATCCTCTTCTACCACTAGTAGAACTTATCATTGCCAAAATTCGACTAGATTCCCTTATGTTTGCAGAAGGTAGCGTGATTATTGAATAACATTGCTGCTCCAAGTCAAGAAAGCTCCTTGAATTAGACCTGGAAACGAAGAAAAACAATGTACACGTTTAAAAACAATAAGAGAATGAACTCAAGCCCATAACTTTGAATCTTAAGTCCATGGAAGGAATAAAAAAACTGACCCCATGTCTGATTTTCTAGTGATTATGAAATCTTAGCTCAAGATAGAACAATGCTTCTCTTTCTGTTAGTTTTGAATGCTAAGAAATGTCTCGGTGAATGATATATATAGGGAAAAAAAAGGAGAAAAATGTCCAAATGGTCCCTTACATTTGGGCTTACTTGAATTTACATCCCTAACATTAACATTTCAATATCGCAGTCCCAAACATTATGTTTTCACACTTTTTTTGTCCCATTTCACTGTTCCGACCACTTTTCCTTCCAGCGATGTTGACCGGCAGTTCACATGCCAAAATTAGGGGTATTTTCATCTTTTCATATAATTTGAACTTTCATTAAAATTTAAATCATTAAAAATATTATAAAAAATCACAATTATTATTTAATTGTTAAAATATTATTTAGTAATTTAAAATTTAAATTATTTTCAAATTTACTTTTTTCTTTACCATTTACTTTAATGTTATTATGTTGCACTTTTAACCCCAGTCCACTGTAATTTTAAAAATTTATCGAGTCATAGTAAATAATTCAAAATTCAAATTAAAAAAAAAAGAAAAACCAATAAACCCCGAATTATTTCTAAAATTTTACCGCGCTATAGTAATTATTTCAAAATTCAAACTTTTTTTTAAAAAAAAATATGCAAGAAAATTATGAGGTGAAAATCCGGATGAGAAATGGTTTATTTAAGTTTTTGGCTTATTTATTGGTTTGAATTGGAGATATAATCTAAAATGTGGTTTTAGTGAAAATTCAAAAAGTTGTTGGGAGAGTATTTCAAATAAAATAATATTATTTTTACACCACCAACTCCACAGCTCCACCACCGGCGACCGCCTCCGGACCACCCACTGCTGCGGCCGGGACGCCGCTGGCCGGATGCTGGCGAGATTCCGGCGACTTGGCCGGAATCCAACCGGCCGGTCATTGGCCGGCGGCGGCAGTGAGTGGTCCAGAGGCAGTCGCCGGTGGTGGGGGTGTGGAGGTGGTGGTGTAAAATAATATTATTTTACTTATAATATTATCCAAATAATTTTTTAAATTTACACTCTAAACCATATTTTAAATCATATCTTCAATTCAAACCAAAAATTAAAATAAATCATTTTTTATCCGGATTTTTACCCCCTTAATTTTCTTCCCTTTGGGCTCACTGGATTTTTTACTTGGACCGAACAAAAATTTAAAAGGTGAAAATCCGGATAAGAAAAATTGAGTTTGCTTTTCTACTTGTTTTAAATAAAAAAATTAAATTTTGAGTTAGTTACTGTAGTACAGTAGAATTTTAGAGTGATACAGGGTTAAAAATTAAACGTAATTAATATTTATTTTGTATCATAAATAGAAAAAATTAATTTTTTAAAATAATGTAAATTTAAATTTTATAATAATATTTTAAATCAATAAGTATTTTAACAATTAAATAATTAAATGTAAATTTTATATTATTTTTAATGATTTAAATTGAAATGAAAGTTCAAATTATATGAAAAGACGAAAATATCCCTGATTCCGGCATCTCAACTGCTGGTCAACATCGAGTTGGACGGAAAAGTGGTCGAAATAGTGAAATAGGATCAAAAAAGTGTGAAAACATAATGTTTGGGACTACGTTATTGAGATGTTAATGTTAGAGATGTAAATTTAAGTAAACCTAAATGTAAGGGACTATTTGGACATTTTAGTAAAAAAAAAGAATTTAAAAATCTAGCATGCATGAAACAGAGGTTGACCTTATAAGAGACTCCATGGTAACTAAACTGCAACTAGAACTCTTTTTAAAGAATTTAAGCGAGTTGTTACATCATTGTCATGTGATCTCAACAACGTCCATTTGAAGGACGACTACTTCAACACAAATATTCATTTCATGAATCGCTTATAATAAGATTATTTGCATCATTTTAAGCAGCTTATAATGGTCAAATGGACATAGTAAACCAATATATGGTTGAAAAAGAACAAAGAAAAGAAAGTGCAAACAGGGTTCAAGGAAGTAACTGTTTAGCAGCAAAATTAGTAAGTATAAATTAACAAAGACTCCAAATATATTCGTTTTTAATCTGTAATTTGGTGAAAGGGAGGACTGAGTCATGTTTTTGCCACTTGCAAAATGCCGCCCCATAAACTGCTTCTGTGTACGGGAAGCCCTTAATTTATAGGGGCAACACAAGTAGTTTCTCGATCCATTTTTTAAAACGAATTGAAACTTACTGTTCCTACTATTCTATATATTTATCATATAATAATCATGTCTTGAGTTTGGATTTGATTTTGTCTTTACAAATGTAAGATGTTATTTTGAAAATGTGAAAAATTGTACGCGGGAAGATTTAGCTAACATAAACTCAAGTTCACCTGCGTGTCAAAAGGATTCATTACAAGTTCCAAAGGTAGAATGGAAAAAATATTCATCCCAAAATTATTGTACAGTTTGAATTTTCATAATTAGTATCAATTGAAATAAAAGTGAATATATAAACTTGATAATAATAATTTTCAGACAAAAGAAGTAATATTAATAATAATACTCCAACAAACATAATTTTTATTTTGAGAGTGAGACCATAAACCAAACTATTAACTGGTAAACTATAAATGGGGCCTGGGAGCTTTATCCCCTTCTTGATTGCTGAAAAAATTATTATTAGAAAGAACAATGATTAAGGACATCAAAAAAGGAAATTTGATTGTTAAGGTATAGTTAATCGGAAAAAAGGACGAATTGTTACCTGTACGTTCCTTAATATTTTGTGGGATGATACAATCCAACTATAACCAAAAGTTTGAAATTTTCGTATAATCACTTATTAACAAATTAATAACTTTCAGTGTTGAGTTTGTGCAGGTTTGCTTGCCACCCGTCTAGAGACTTTCCGAGTACCAGATCGAGACGTGCGTGCGTGGAATCTTCCCTCTTAGTAGTATTATCTCCTTTTCCATAAACCCGACCTACATGTAATAGACTAGATACTTGCAATTGTGTGTCAAAAAACAAAACTTAATTAACAACATCATCAAAAATAAATTAGAAGACCAAAAAAAAAAAAAAAAGAAATATTTGAAACAATTACAAAAAAAAAAAAACAGAAAAAAAAGACTACTAGAAAGTAAAATCTTGAAAAAATTTTCATTGACTGTTCTAAATCGATGAGCACATTCACATAAGAAACTTTTATAGTTTTAGTCTACAAAAAAACAAAAAAAAAAAAAAAATGTTACACGGAAAAGTCAGCACAAGAATTTTTGCTTTATAAATTGAAGAAGTATATGTCGTATACAACTTTAGTTTTATTTTATAAACTCTAACCTATATATATATATTACTATATATATATATATATATTACTAGAAATAAGGATCGAATTATACCGCACCACCAAAACAACATTATGTGGTCTAAGTAGAGGAAATGGCACCGAAACAAATTCAACGCATCTGCTAACCTCAAATACTCTAAAGGCCAGATCATAGCCAAGGGGAAAAGAAATCGTGCTGATTCAAACTGTTTTTCATTAACAAATCTTGTAGATACTTGAAGAAATTGAAACCAGTCAAGTAACAGAAAAATCTACAGTTAAAGAATCACCCATTCAAAATGGGAAGGTACTAATTTCTCGAGCTGTTTGTTCGGCAGAATTTCATACAATTTCCTCTTCCTGCAGAGTCAGGAGAGACGTCAATTGTAATTCTCTTGAGGGAAACAGCATTCCACTACAAAGTACTCAACTAGTATACATTACAGGTCTCCAAGCATTGATGGAGATGACCCTATAGTTTCCCTCAATTTAAACACAGGATTGAACTGCATCCTCCCTTATAAAAGCTAGAAAGTTAAAAATATTACCTTGCGACAATCTAAATTGTCTCTGGTAATCAGAAAAAACAAAGATCAATCCATAATGATTGTGAGAAAACAATACTAAATCTTTGATTAACTACTTTAAAGACTACTCGTTTAAACTAGTATTGACAATAAGAAGGCATTAAATATACAAAAATAAGAAGCGGTTCATAACAAAACTCTCAAATGTGATTCTTTCAACTATAAAGGATACACCATCTGAGATACCACTTACCTACCCACTCTATAGCCCAGATCATATACAAGGCAAAAAGACTTGTGCTGATTCAAACTCTATTCCATTAAAAACCATAAATCTAGCATCCTTATATTGAGCAATTCAAACTAGTCAAGTATCACAAAAATCAACAGTTAACTCTACATCTACACACAGCATATACCGACTTCCCAAACCATACTGATTTCCAACATCAAACACATTTGTGATCCACCTGCAACATAATCTCCGTCCAGACACCGAGGTGTCAGCAAGATCAGCAAGCATCCAAGCTTCCAGGGCAACATTGGCTTAACACTCACTACATCTACACCGGCCTCAGCATGATGATTAGGGAAGGTTGAACCTAAGTTTTGCTTCCCCGGCAAGATTCAGTTATCACTTTTTAAGTGCAGAAATAAGCTAAACTTTCCAATAGAGAAACAATCATGATCAACAGCGAATTGACCTCGTCTAAAAGAATCTTCTCCTGAAATTTCTGGTAGTTGCTTGATATGACCGCATAAGTAGACCAACACCAATTCCGACACCTAGACACATACCAAGGCCAATTCCAACACCAACCCTTACACCAGCATTGAACCATGACAGTTGACCATCTTCCCCTGGATACATTTCGTCAGAGTAGTAACTGTTCCCATATTTCATATCAGCCTCATATTCGTCCGTTTCATCTCCAGTCATCTGAAACAAACCAAAAGACCATCAGTAATTGTAAAATAGCAGAGTGAGGTGATAAATTTCTAAATTGGTTGATAAAACTAAAGATCACAAACTAAAAACAAATAGAAAGAAAGTTTCAGCAAACAAGTGCACTAGACTTGAGGAGATGCAATCCAAGTTTATGAAGGAAACTCCGATCACATCTTCCGGAACACCAAAATGAATCCTTGGTCAAGGAAGCTTGAGCATGACCAATATATTCTAAACATGATGGTTCTAACATACTAACCATTGATTGACCTTAATGCTTCACAAGCTTTGGAGATTTGCCGATTCCTCTTTGGCCTCTTAGACTCTTAGCAATCTCTCTACAATTCTGTTACACCAATCTCAGTACAATCCCAATGAATCTGTTGTGTGAGGAGGCATAGACACAGTTCTTTCTCCAGAGGACTCATTACAAGACCCTGAGGCGGAATAAAAAACTAGAAATCTATAACCATCCCTTGGAATACAAACATAATATCCCTTTTAACAGCAAATTCTATCTATTCTTTGTCCGTCATTATGACTCCACCTTTACTTGTCTCCAACCTTTCACAAACCAATGAAATATAGATTAAGCGACTAAGCTTCCGAGGATATAGTACCAATCATTATTAGCGGGAAATATAGATTCTTCACGAATTAAACTGCATTCCTTCCAAGCCAAAAGGTTTAACCAATATCTTCCAACAATGAAAAATACTAATTTTATTTTACTTTTTTGGTCAACAATCTACATTATTTCCAATACCAGAGAAACATGTTCAGCCTTTACTTCTCTCCAAGCATCCACAGGACCAATCCATAAAATACTTTAAGGACTCACTTCGAGTACACAGCATTCGTTCATGGAGGGAAAGTTAGATACTTCATAACTAAACTATGAAGACAGGTAAATCAAACAACATACAACGATTTAAGAGAACAATAATGATGAAGTTTCAAATAACATTTAACACTTCTCTTTTACCTGAAATTTGCGCTGCCGAACCAACCCATTCGGGGACCTTTGCTCCTTTCCGATTTCCTCATCCTCTGGGATTGCATCCAGCATAACGTGCCTGGGTACCTTCTTCCTCGGACTAATCTGAATCGTCTTGGTTAGAATCACAGGCTTCCCTGAACAACAACCGGCAACATAAACCTCAATAGTTGGCGACGAAACCCCAAGTCTGGGCTGAAAAAACGCAGAGCCACCGGACACCATTGACGCGGCGGTGCAGCAATCCATTCCCCACCCAGTCTTCGGATCATTCTCGAGAGCGTTATTGCCATTTATCCACGCCGCCTCATCAACTCTCTCCAACGACCCACAAAGGATCAACTCCGTCTCATTTTCCCTCACCTCGAATTCAACCGCTCCCGAAACTCTGACCCTGTCGGTGCTGACATAGGTCACCTCCGACGAGTCCCTGTCCACACGGTCACGGCGGAGGCTGATCGACGCGGTCTCCGACGAGGGCACACGGTTTCCGTTAATCTCCAGCGAGACACCGATCTCGCGGCGGAGGTGGCGCAGGGTGAGGCTCTCCGGCACGGAATCCACCGCACAGGGGGCGATTCGGACGTTGAAAAAGCGAATTTCCAAGCACCCACCGGTGAAATTGGAGGGTTTGTATATCGACAATGACAAATCATCCTCTTTTGAATCCATTGATGAAAAACCCAGAAAACTAATTGCAGGAAAAAGATTAAACAAAAAGCCGGGTATTCTGCTCCGGCCGGTGATCAAAAAAGCAATCAAAAACAGGCATGCGGTGGAATTAAAGGGAATTTGGGAGAAAATATGAGCAAATTTCGGGGTTCTGACATGAGAATTGAAAAGGGTTTTTGGGGGATGATTGATTACAGAGAAGTACGGCGTCGACGGGGTCAATTTGAGGAAGGGGGAAAAAGTAGAAGAACCGGAATGCCAGGAGGAAACGGGTAGAGTGGAATAGAATACAATGAAGGAAAAGGAAACAGCCAACAAATTAGGAGCGTGAGTTACACGCGTCGTTGAGACGGCTGGGGGAAATTCTGCATGCGAGACAAGTTGAAATAAAACAAAATGAATTCTGTACGGTGCAGACGTAGATATTTTGCGGTGTTCTTCGAAATCCAACGACTAGATCGGGAGGGTGACGTCCGCCGACCGCTCTCTAAGTTTATGGTCACGTTCATTGTCTCAATACAGGCTTCCTTTCTTTTATTTTAAAATATTTTGATTTCTCAAAAAAAAAAAAAATTTATTGTGTTTTCCAAATTAAAAAATGTGAAAATATTTTATAATAATTGGAACTTGGAAGACAGTAATCATCAAATGTATTTTAAAGTTTTATTTTAATTATAATAATACAGTAAATAAAATTTATGAGAAATCAAAATACGTTAGCTTATAATAAGGTACGAAACTAAAAGTTTACTGTTCAATTAAAACACTAAATTAGTGTATGAAATAATATTTTTGTTTTTTTTAAAAAAAAAAAGTTGCAGAAGATTAACCAAAGCACTTATAGTTCCATTTGTTAAGTACTAGTATTAAAATTATTTTCTTCTTTGATCGATTAATTAGAGAATTTACTCATTGTTTTGATTATATGGTAGATTTATTTCGAAAACTACACATTATAATAATACATGTCACATATCTTCCTCTCTTTTTTTTATTCCTTTGAGTTGTAATTAAACATAAAATGATGCCAAAGTTACGAGCTTTTTTAGGTTGCAAAGAGCTACATAGATTTTAATCTCTGTGTGTGTGTGTGTGTTTAATTTTTCTTTTCTTTCTTTCTTTCTTTTTTTTTTTTTTTCTTTTTGAGGATGCAAAGAGCTGAAAAAAGATTTAGTAACATGTTTTCGAAGTACAGTAAAGACATGAATCGCAGTTACGATTTGCAATCATAACTCTTTGGAATATGTTAGTTTCTTGAATTTCTTCTATTATTTTATTTCTTTTTTTTTTTTTTGGTGTCCCAAAAGAAAAAGGATCTACTTTGATATTTTTAACATTTACTATCGTATTTCAATATCCTTATGAATACTCCTTTCATCATATTCTAATTGTACAACAACGTTAACAATAAAATAATACAGTAACAATATATTTTAAACACTTTACTCATATTTCATCATAACATAAAATAATGAGGATTTTAAATGTCGGACATCAAGACTCTCTTATTCGATCTTGAGGGGATGACATATTATAATGGTAATGAACTAATGATGAATATTGGCCATTTACCCAAAATTTGTCAACTTTTGAGCGACTCACCTAATAATACCAATTACCAAAGCTGACATATGGGAGCAATAAATTATTAATTTGTTATAATAGTATATTTGGTTGGTTGTTTAACGCTAAATGGCCATAATCATATACATAGATTCTGGTTCATTAGGTCAACTAAAACATTTCTTATCTGTTTCTTTCTATTTAAAGCAGGGTATATGTTCAAATAATTATCCTATACATTAAACCCAAAAAATTATTAAAAAAATAAAAAATCATTTCTAGACACATATAATATATATATATATATATGTACTGATTAAGATGAGAATAAAAGGACATTTGTTGGAAAACATGTACAGCAATTAACATGTTTTTTATTAATATAAAAAACACCCCCGAGGTTTATCTGATTATCAAATACGCCATCACCTTTTGGAGAAATATCAAGAACCTCCATTGACCGGTGAAATCAAAAAGTCAAAAGGCTTAAGTGATAAAATGACTAAAAACTCAAGAATTTTTGGCAAACCCTATTACAAAATACAAAATTCCACCGAGATATATCATGTTCTCAAACAATCTTCTGCATCGTCTCTTCTTCCCAAGCTCTTACGCTCGACACCGGTATTTCACCACCACCACCACCGTAGTATTATTATTTCCCTCACCTCGCCTATTACAAGCATCATCTCATCCCTCTTTTATCCTGCAACATACATAGAGAAAGGCCGGACCTTGGAGCAGATTTTGGTCCTTTCTTAATGCTTTGAAACAACAGATCTGTTGGTCATGAGTAATTTCGTTGGCCTGGAAGAACCCACGACCATGATCACCGGTCGACTTCCGATTTCAATTGAATCTTTGCCCTCATAAATTTAGAAGTTTTCGAACACCTCAGCTTGTTAAGGAGGCTGTTGCACTAGACTTGGAGAGTAAACTTTGACTCTGCAACGGTATTGGTAGGAATTTGTTCCCTCCATTCCCTAACATTTATTAATCAGATGAAAATCTTTTCTTTTTTTTTTGTGATGGATTTGGTTGATCAGAGCTCCAAGAATGTCTAATTCTATATTGTATGCTTTGTTTATCTCCTCTGATTGATGTATGTAATTTTATAGAGACTAATTTATGGGTTTGAATGAAAGTGGAACAAGCCGTAGAGGCTGCAGCCAGATTTGTTGGCGAATCTTTGAACCGAGGGCTGCAATTTTGTACACTGGTGTTGTCTTTCCTCCGCAGTTTGTTATCATTTAAGAGAAAGAGACGATTCTTTTTTTGGGTTGTCTATGAAATCGATCCAAGTGAATGACGAGTACTTCACAAATCGCAATGGATTTGATTTTTGGTTAAAGTCGCCTAGTTGCCGAGAAATTTTAGTCGGAAGGGAAAAAAAAAAAAAAGAAAAGATGATTTTTTTGAGTGAAGGGCAAATTAGTCTTCTCAATACTCTTTTTTGCTGACATCATTTGTCGACGTTATTATTCCGGTAGCAGAGGATGGATTTGATATTTGACTCACTGGTCAATGGAGGTTCTTGATATTTCTTCAAAAGGCGATGGCGTATTTGATTATTAGATAGACCTCGGGGGTGTTTTTGTTATTAACTAAAAATTAATATGGTATTATTTGGTCAAACGTGGTGACACTGGCGGCTGCGGCGGGGTCCCTGGTCAAAAGGTTGTACCAATAGCCCATAATTTCAGAGGAGTTTTGAGCCCAAATTTATCAGTCGAAAACATTGGGCTTTTAGCTGGCTATGAGGGTCTGTTCGTTTGCATGGCATTGGAGGCTTGGATTTGGAATTTGGGCCTCCAATGCCAAATCCAGTGTTCGGCTACCAAAAAATAAGATGGCATTGGCGTTAGTCCAATGCGAAAAGGCTTTCAATGCCACAGTTTTAATTCCGGGCTTGAAGTTATTATTTGGGATTCCAAACTCTCATGGAGTTGAATCGGACGCGGGTCTTTCCCGGGTTAAATAAAAAAAAACTCGGATTATAAGCTATCGGGTCTTTTTCTTTTTTATTTTTCACAGCTTTACTTTACTTCATTGATTTCTCTTTCTCATCTCACGGCTTTTCCTTATTCCGCCGCGACACCACCCCTTCATCTCCGACTCCGCCCCCACTGATCTCCTACCAATTGACGACGGCGAAGGCGAAGACAAAGGAGGCTACGACTCCACCCTTTCTTATTTCCCTCTTCATTATTTTCTCTCTTTCTTCCTTTCGCATGGATTAGGGTTAGCTTCCCATACTTTCTTCTGATACTTAGATTTTCAATCAAATCGGTTTTGTTTTAGCAGGAATATGTCTGAATTTTTGTGAGTTTTGTTTATTGGAGTCAAATTCAAAGTGGGTCTGCTTCTCGGCACCTTACTCAGTTTTGTTTCTCAAGAACATAGCCCGCCGACTTCTCTTCTTCAACAGTACTCCTCTTTCAAATCCGCTGTGCAAAGGGACTTCAAATTCCAGGTAACGTTTTCTCTCTTCACTGTTCCGTTATTGTTTCTTGGTCCAAAAATACAGCTTTTTAATCTTTTCTTCTTTAATAAAGAAACAACCAAGAAGAATAATCCTATCTTTACATCCTCAGCTCTGAACAAGTATTTTTTCTGGTGGATAAGAATTAATAAGTTGAAAAAATTAAAAATAATTTTAGCTATGTAGTTACAAGTTAATGAGTTATATTGAGGTGATGTTGTTATATTGATGTGATCTGGTGTGATGTTGATTTTAATAGTCTCTGTGGTCTTGTTTCTTTTGTGTTGATTAGGTACGAAGAACTAATGCTATGTTTGGTAAGGGTTAGTATAGTTTACTTCTCCAATTGAGGCACTTTCTGCTAAGTGGTTGATTTTATGTATATATTGTATAGTTGGAACTAATCTAATCAGGTTAAAAATCTTTCTTATTCAGGAAATGGAGCTAATCCTATTTTGGGGCTCTTTAGCTGTTAAACTGTGTATACCTTTTTAGTTCTGGAGTTTACTTAGCACTAGCAGTTAACTTTTTTTTTTTTTTGAGTATAACTTTTTAGTTCTGGAGTTTATCCATACTAAATCTTTGACATGGATATCTCCCATACTGCAGTTGAACTGTTATGGTTTTGCGACATAAGTTTTTTTTTTTTTTGTTGAAGTGTGCCCGATATTAAGTTTACTTGTCTATTTATTGGACGTAATACTTTTTTATCGGCCTTTGTTGTAAAGGGATACAAGAGGTTCATTTGCAGCAACCCTCAAGAATCCTAATAAAAGATAGGATTATTGTTTGTGCTTTCAGCGGTTACCATTTGAAATACACATGGTTCTTCGCATTAATTCTGGGTTAAGTTTTGCGATGATTCATTTGGACAGTGTGTTAATATCCTTGTGAAACAATGGCGTTTAATGAATTCACTCTTTTTAATGAATTCACTCTTGTATAGTGATCAAGTTGTCTGCATAATGGGCTTAAAGTTCGTATACCCTCTTTGGAATATTAGCCTCTTTGGTAATCTGATTTTTCACTAGTTTTTCTTTCCTACTTAATCATTACACTGAAATATGACTGTCTTCTTGTTTGTTTTGATTGCATTACCATGGTGACTGATTGTGATTCTATTGATGTAGAAAGACTGTTGATATATCTACTGTAACTGCTTGATCTGTCATTATTTCTGCTGTTGGAGGTGTTTGATTGGAATGATTGTTTTAAGTGAAAAGTCAGCATGAGATACATTGGCTTTGGGGTTCTAGCAGGCATGGCTGTCTAATTAACCTTTCTTGGCGTTGTTTCATGGTTCTTGGATAGTGTAGCTCAGTTATTCATAGCTCGCTCAATACATCATTTTGGTGCATTTGCTATCCTTCAGCTGGCATATTTCTTCATACACTTTCTCTTTGCAAGTCAAACAGCCCATGTTAGCACTTTATACTCTGCTTTCCTCTGTATGCATCTGCACTATAAATTGGTTCTGTTAAAGCTTTTAGGCTTACCGTGACTTTACCTTACCTTTACCTAAAACTTTGGGTTTAAATTTTTAAATTGACAAATAAATGAAAATACAAACCAAAGTGATTCTCAGTCGAAGTCGTTAACGATGTACTATATGCACATGCCACATGCTGAATATACTATACCAAATACAGAGACATGGCTGAACGCCTGAACCTTTAGCCGCTTAAGTCTTTAATAGCATTAGTGTTCTTAAGCAACTCTACCGATATATAGTTACAGACCGAATTCTTATATGGTGCACCATGATATGTTGGCAACTAATAATATGATCTATTTAACAGATTAAGTGGGATAAAGTATAAAGGCTTAATGCTTGTTGTTAAATAAAGCTATCATATCATATTCTGATTAAGAAGATATGTGTTTTGCAAGTAACAGTGAAATGTGTAAGTATGTAACTAACAAAGATCATATGTAAAAGGAGCGAAACAGAGTATTTTCACTTTTGCTCTTATCATCTGGATCAATTAGTGCTTATATTAATGAATTTGGAGCAGCAGATGTACCTATGATACGATACTGGGGCTTATTTGTGAATGGTTTAAATCTTTATGTACGCATATTGATGTCTCTACTCTCTAGTTACATATTGATGTCTCTACTCATTAACAGAATTTAAATCTTTTCTTGTTTAGTTACAAGTTTGAAGCAAGTTTTTATTTGCCGTAACTTTTTGATTAGTCTCTTTGTTTCTTCTTATACTCTTCCTTTCTATGGCTTAAAAGTGATGAATGGTCAGAAGTCGTAGAACATCTTGGCTTAAAAATTTTGTTTTATTCGCAGGTAAATTCTGCTGATAAGGTTTAAACAGTTCATGGATTCGTAGTTGCCAAGGTTTTGTTCATCCGTATGTATCATAAATTAGCTGATTTCAGTACGTGGTTTTCTCCTTTTCATCCAGCCTTGAAAAATTCCGGTATGTTTTCGGGATTCTGCTTATAGTTTAGAGCATGGTGTAGATTTCTCTTGAAGTTCCTTGCCTGTAAATACAGTTGTTTAGTCATCAGATTGTGAAACTTCCAACTTCTTGTAACAAGTATGTTGCCAAATGGTATCGTAATTATCAAAATTGGAAGAGTATTTTCATTCACAGTTTGATCAATGTAGTAACAAACGATTATGCCAATTTCAGCACTAATTAATTGAACTTTTCAAAAAGACAATGGAAGTGTAAATGATATTGTACATCTTTAATAGTACTACTACACATTAAACCAGCAGGGAAGTATTGCCCCCTGCTTCTGAGGGGATTGCTGGAGTTACCCTTGCAGGAGCCACCTCAGCTACCGCTCATGGGATTGAAGTTGAAGTTGAGTTTAAGCCAGTTGAACATCCAATTGAGCCGCTAGACAATGATCGTCCAATTCAATGCCCGTTGCCAAAACCTTCAATTCTTATTGTACCTTAAACCAACTTAGATTTAAGTCGTGAAAATTGAGTAGAGTTGTTTCATTGACTTTTGAATGAGAAATTCCATTTTTTGCTTTTACAAGTGTACTTTAGTTTTGAAGTGCCTGCATTACCAGGTTAACCAGGTTTTGTGCAGATCAGTCAAGCCCTCCTTTTGTGAGTCATTTCTTTATGTTAATCTTCCTCCAATTTTGTGGACTAAAGTCATAGCCAAGTGCATATCATACTCGATTTATAAAATGTATTTTAATTAAATAAAGTAGATTATCTAACATAATATTCTCACATTGTTTGTTTTAATATTATTCGTTTTACATATTTATATATTATTTTAGAAATGACACTATTTAATTTAGCAAAAATTAAAAGTTGAAATAATTTCAAAATAAATCAAATTTTCATTTTTCTTTATTTTTGTAAAAAATAAGCAAAAGTCAAAACCAACTCAATTACATGACTATCCGAACAGAGAATTTGGAAACCCAATTAAATTTGTGGCTAATTCTATAATTTTGCCGAACAAATGATTTGGCATTCAATTAGAATATCTTGAATGTCAATTGAATCCCAAAATATTCTAATGTCAATTGAATCCCAAAAACATGTAGCCGAACACACTCTGAATGTATTTGAGTTTGCGAATATTTGACATTGTTATCTGTAAGATGACACTGTAAAGGTACTAAGCACAAAAAATGAGTAAGAATTTCGTTGATCAGGTTTGGTATTTGGAAAGGAGGATTTGGAATGTTGAAACAGTAGCCTTACAGCTAATTCGTTTGGAAATTGGAATTGGCTAAGTAACAAAGTTACGCTAGACTAATAGTCGAATCAGATTTCGAAGCAGCTATATTAATCTGGTTCAGAATTTGGATGGAAAGTGGAAACTCACAACTGAATTCTGTATTCAGAAGGAATTCAGGACTTTTTGGAGTCTGGAATTTGAATGGAGGTGCAGTTTTTGCACCATTTAGCTAGAGAGAACAATCTCAGAGCTACGCCCAAAGGAGGTTTAATTCAGGACATGCACTTAAACAGCTTTAACTAGTAAAAATGATGTTATGAAATACACAATATTGCATACAATCTAATGTCATGTAATAATATAGATACTTCGAATTAATACAAGTACCCTTTAAAAAAACAATGCTATTACATAAACAGTAGGAATTCTAATAGCTAACACTTCCAACAATGCTATTGTTTACCAAAACAAAATTGATTTTTCGTGCATATGCACGATCAGTAGACATGGTTAAAGATGAATTTGCATAGCAAAAGTTTATATATTTTCCGATCTCAATTTAAACCTTCTTTCGATATTCGACAAAATAGGTTGTTAAAATGGAACGAAGAGAGGATAACTGACTAATTATAGAGCGTAACTAGAATTTTTTTTTCCCTCTAAAGTTAATGAGAAGGATTATTAACACGTAGACACTGTGTACTTAGGAGTTTAGAGAAATAATAGAAAGGACAACTTTTTCCTTTCAGTTGAACTTTTCAAATGTATTCCCTCAAGTAAATTAATTGCTGCAATGCCACATTGTTGGAGCCTTGAAGGATACAAACAACTTTGTCGATCTTCAATTTATTTGACAGGTCCTGAGCCGAATCGACGGACAGATTTGTCATATGAATCGATCACATTTCAGGCCATTACTACTGTATTTTCTATTCTTTTTCCTTTTTATTTTTACTTTTTGTCTCTGCAAATATTTTTTAAAAATCACATTAAGTACTGGGGAGATCATGTAACAGATCTCTTTTCGAGATCCTTAACCTGTTATGATAATTTCTTCAATGAAATACTTATATTATATAGTTCTAATAAAACTAATAAATAACTAATCCCAACTCAAATGGTACAGCACGCTATATCTTTTTATTAAAAAAAAAACAAATTATTCTTCCCGACTAACTCATAAGTCATCGTTTTCAACACAAAACAAAAAAAGAAAACTCATAAGTCATAACTACTATCCAGAAAACAATTATTGATGGGGTTAAGCGTGTCGTGTGTACATTTTATATGACTAAGACTAATGATGTGTCGTGAATTATTGGATATTATTTTCCCATCACATTGACCACCAAATGGCCAAATTATTGAGTTATTAATTTAAAAATAGTTGAAAGAATCAGAAAAGCACAAAAATAATCGTGAAAGAAAAAAAAATGACTAAAGAAAATAGATGAGGGAACACTACTACTTGATTCGATTTAAAGAACTAACTTTAAAGTGGCATCTATCAAACTATATTCGAATGTATGTTTATCAAGTAAATCTTGCATCAATCAGTTGTAGCACGTGAAATACTAGTACTTTTTTACTCAACTATAAGAAAATTATCAACGTAAAAAAACTGAGAAAGATGGGAAGTTTTAACTATTTATTCTATTATAAGCTTGTTTGCACTATTTTTTCAAGTCTATATTAGGCTTTTTCAACTCTGTATTAAGATTTATGCTTTTATAGGTTCAATCTCAATAGTTATCGTCTAAAATGAAAAGAAACTACACGGACATAATATAAAATATAATGCCTCAACAAATATACGATATTATTTATAGGACGAAGGGATTAATCATTAATTACAACCCAAAAAAAATAAAGCAAAAAAAGAAGAAGAAGACGAAGAAGCAAAAGCACTAATTAAAAACTGACATGCAGGCCAGTTGGTCTACTACAGCAGGCCATGAATGGTGCTACGATAACAATTAAATATGTGCACATGAACGGAGAGCCCATTTAGAATATAATCTAAATATGATCTGAAAGTTGTGAACTCGATCCACGATGCATTTCCAAGAAATTTCCCCGTATGAAGCTTTGATGATACATACTAATAGCTCCCCTTATAAATACGGATAGTAAGGCATTCCCCTCTTGCATCACAAAAACCAAACAAAAACCCATATTCAGAGTGTAGTTGCATTTGCGAGTTGAAAAAGCTTCATTATCATGGCTGAGATCCCAAGTGAGTTAGTTCCCCCGACCGGAACCGTCCACCGTAAGGATTTTGGCCGTGATTTTCTCTTTGGTGGATCCACCTCTGCTTTCCAGGTAATACTACTATTGAGATCGGATCACATAATTTCGGTCACTAGTTTAATTTAAACGGTTTGATATCATATTAAAGTCCATTTGTTACATTGTTCTACATCAGTATCGTGAAACATTTTGTATCAATATATAATCTCTATGTACTACAAAAAAAATGTCTATTTAATCACCAAGAGCTTCTAGTGTCTTGTATCTGTGACTTTTTTTGGTTATTCGATATTTTTTATTATACGAAGGGACTTGATTGAACAAAAATATAATCTTCGTACTTCATAATTTGACAATTTTTGTTACAGATTGAAGGTGGTGTTGAGAGAGATGGAAGAGGCAAAAGCATATTTGATACTTTTGTTGAGGAAAGGGGTATAGTTTCCGATCTCTTGTCGATTGTATATGCCAGAAAGCATACAAGAAGATAGGAACTTCGTGTTGTTTGATAATACAGCATTTTTTTTTACCCCAATTTATTATCAATTTTCCTGATCTGGAATCATCCCAAACAAGTTTTTCAGTAAAAATATACTACTACTATATCAAACAAAAGAAATAATAGTAAAATGAATTTCGAGGAATGAATATTTTGATATCTCAAAAACAGGCACTGACACACAAAACGAAATTGTTCCCCCGAATCATTATTTTCTTATTATTGCAAACTATAAAATTCATGGCAGGACTGTATGGCGAATATGGCCCTGATGCTGTCAATCATCGCGAATTCTACGAGGTACACATATGGTGTTCACATATCGTGTGTGTGTGCGTGTGTGTGTGTGTGTGAAGTGCTAGATTTTTAATTACCGTTCCTTTTTCTTTTTCGATTATTTTCCCTCTCTTTGAATATATAAGGAGGAGGTTAACACCTAGATCATATTTTACGATGATATTTGCAGATAGATGTGGAACATATGAGGGATATTGGATTTAATTCTTACAGATTTTCCATCTCATGGTCCAGAATACTCCCAAGTAAGTAAAGAGAAATACCAAAAAGAAAAATAAACTTGTCGGCAACTGTAATAATTACTCATCGAAAGTCATTGCTGACTAACAATTTTATTTTAAGGTGCAACTAATAAAACAATAAAAACCATATCTAACCCATGCTAACTATATAATTCGATTTTTCAGCTGGGAAAAAAGAGAGCCGAAATCAAGATGGAATCAACTTTTATAAGGATCTTGTGAAGAAAATCAAGGCCGCAGGTACCTACAATAATTTCCCATCTCTGTCGACTCACACAAACATACTTATTCTTTCTTTCTTTCTTTTTTTCGGAGAAACTATACGTGTTAAAATCCTTTTGATCTCGAAAACAAGTAAAAGATACTTATCTTACATTGAAGTTAGGAACCCAACTTGATCAACATATATACCCCACTAATTAGTTTTGAAATAGAATACCATGTGGATTTATATCGGTATTCAAGAATAAGCATTCACTATATAGGTTAAACATCAGTGCTCCAACTATTGTAGGAGCTTCTCAACTCTCGTCTTAGGGGATTTTATTTGGAAAGTCCCACACACACTAGATAAAAATAAAATAAAATAAAATAAAATAAGACGACGACGAATAGAGGACAATCTTCTTAGTTAGGTTGGATATATATAAACTGATTTTTGACTACTCTTCCCATTCTGATAAAATTGTCCAATATGAATTTTCAGTTTTAATACAGATAAGGAGTAATTAAAATATTAAATAGAGAATAGTATTTGTATTCTGACAATGGACGTGTGTTCGAATAGGAATGGAGCCAATGGCGACTCTCCTGCACTTCGATCCTCCCCAAGATTTGGAGAACGCGTATTTCACTTTCTTGAAGCCTGAAATTGTGTAAGTAATTACTAGTTGACACTTATGTAATAATGTGATTTGTAATTCGAAGACTGATGAGAGTGCTAATTAATTAATTTCATGATAACTAATTATATATGCTATATATATATAGGGATGACTTCTGTGACTACGCGGAAATTTGTTTCCAAGAATTTGGTAACGATATAAAGTACTGGACAACTATAAATGAACCCTGGTATGTTTCATATGGTGGATACATAAGAGCTGAGATCCCACCTGGTTACCAAGCAGACAAGGACTATGATACCATTCAGAAAGAAATTGATACCAAATCAGGGAAATCTTATCCTGGTGATAATCAAGGTTCCATCTGCCCACCATTCCAATGCTCAAATATCTCATCGTCTTCATCTTCGTCAGATCCTGCTGCCAAGGAATTTTCACCTAAGGATGATTCAACATTGCCTCCTAGAGAGCAATGGCCATACATTGCCGGGTATTATCAACTTCTCGCCCATGCCAAGGCAGTGAAACTCTACAGAGAAAAATACGAGGTAATTAACGTTGTTTGATTATGAGCTCTGTTAAGAGTAACGATAAAGACAATGATTGAATCGGTGGTGATCGGTTGATATGTATGTTCCAATTTGGCACGTGACTGGATGAATTATTTTTAATTTCATCATCATAAGTTTAGGTACACTAACTTTTTCTTCTTCGTCTTCTTAATCCTTTTTTTTTTTTGGTTCTTATTTAGGGATCTAAAGGTGGAAAAATTGGTCTTAATTTAGTAGCACAATGGTATCTACCTTGGGAAGACACCCAAGAAAATATTGATGCCGCGAAACGCGCTATGGATTTCATGCTTGGATGGTCAGTAACATACATGAACTCTCTCTATAACTTTTACGTGTATGTATTGTGTTACATAAAAATGAAGAAAATGTTCAAAAAAAGAAAAAAAAAAAAAGAGAGAGAAAGGGAATTCATATTAAGTCACGATATGACAAATTTATTTAACATCACACTAAAAACAGTCCCAAATTAATTAAATTTATATGTTATGTTTTTCTCCCCCTACTTGACAGGTTCATGGATCCTTTGTATAAAGGTGATTATCCAGAAAATATGCATAAGTACGTTACCAAAGGTTTCCTTCCAAAGCTTGATAAAGATTTGGTCCAAGGAACATACGATTTTGTTTCCTTGAATTACTACACTTCTCTATATGTTGCTGATTTCCCAAACGAGGGTGGAGATTTTGTTCTTGATCGTCGAGTCAACTTCTTTGGTTAGTACCAACTACTTTATGAATCTCACTGATTTTCTAGAAGTCAAAATGGAAATAATCCATATAAAGTTTAACTATAAAATAGTTTATTTTATTGAACTTTAACGTTATAAAAAAATGGATTATTATATATTCGGGGACAAATGGAGTATAATAAATAACGGGCATATTTACTGATCATTAATTTGTGGTATATTCTTTATCAGTCTTAAACAGGATAATCAATTTGGTTTAATAGAGTAATTTGTTTATCTAGTTAGTATATGTTTAAGAACTATGTTAGAAAAATGAGATATATTCATTTAAAATGCTCTTTTATCGATATCTGCAGATAGAAATCCAGCCGGAGAACTCATTGGTGACGAGCAGGTGAGTAGTTAACCGTGTGGAAATTATGTACCCAGTCAGTGGGGAAAGAAAAGTTGAATTGATTGTGTAAAGATGAATGTTTATCCCTAATCTTATTAAGAATAATAAACACACGGCGTTCTAGCCCTTTTAAAGAAACTAAAAGGTATACTCCTTCTGTCTCAAAATTATTGTCCAGTTTGAGATTTCACTTTTAATATAATTTGAACTAAAAACGAAATCTCAAACTGAACAATAATTATAGGACGGCGAGAGTACTTATTGACTGTTTTAACTAATCAACAGTAATCATTCCTGTTGGATCGGAAAGAGTGTTACTATTACTTATGACATCCATGTTATTTCTTTACCATGCAGGGTCACGGTGGGTGGATTAATAAATATCCAGAAGGGCTTCTGAATGTTTTGGTGTACCTCAAAGAGAATTACGGCGATCCGGAAATTTACATACATGAAAATGGTAAATATATACGTGAATCCATTGATAACTTATATATAGAGAAATGAAGATCACTATTAAGTCACCAAAAAAAAAGAAGGATAATAAAATCATAAAAAAGTGAAATTGCTTTTAAATAATGAAAAATATGTTACTCTCCATTGATGTGCTAACTGTATTTGTGTATATACATTGTGTAGGTTTTGATGATCCAAATCTTCCCCTAGCAGATAGAGATGCACTCTACGACCAAAAGAGGTTATGGTACCACCATGATCACCTTCTTGCAGTGAAAGATGCCATAAGGTAAAAAAAAAATTACACATAACACAAACATATTACGTACTTTTATCTAAAAAAAATAATCCACTTTATTAATCGTTATCGTAATACTGTCTCTTCGTTCTATATTTTTTATTTAAGTGATGATTTTTAATATTGTTTGAAAAACAATTGATGGATGGATGGATGCAGAAAAGAGGTGAGGGTTAAGGGATATTTCGCGTGGTCGTTAATGGACAACCTTGAGTTAGCTGCTGGCTTCGGCTCTCGATTCGGCATCATCTATGTTGATTATAAGGACGAATCGAGAAGGAGGATTCCGAAACTCTCTTCTTACTGGTTTAAACAGTTCCTCGCAAACCAACCAAGAGAATCTGACGCATGACTGAAGAAGTAACTGCTGAGTTGGCTCGCGGATTGATGTTTTATTACGTTAAAAATTCTGCTCTTTGTGGTCTCTTATCATATGATGAGTTTATTAATTTCCAGCGTAATATTTTGTATCAGATGAACTGAAAGGCTAGCTATAGCTTTCTTCCTGAAGAGCTGGATAGCCTCTTCATTATCATTGTTGTTGTTTTAAGTCGTTTGAGAATATGAGTATTTGGTTAATAATATGTGATGGTTATTTATTCTTTTTTTTTTTAATTTTATTAATTGCGCATATCATCCTATTTTGAGGTTTGCATGTTTGTTTGTATTAGTAATATTAATCAGTCTTCTAGGCTTTAAAACACGATGCTTCCTAATGTGTACTCCCTCCGTCCCATAACTATTGTCTAGTTTGAGTTTTCATTTAGTTCAAATTATACTAAAAATGAGATCTCAAACTAGACCATAATTTTGAGACAGAGGAAATATTTCTCCTTTTTTCTTTTCTTTTTTTCAATAAAAGAGATTATGCATTGCATCATGATGTTATCATAATCTGCTTTCAAGTCTTATTCTAGCTAGTGCGGTTTTAATCATAGCAATACATCTAACTCAATTTTTTAAACTCCTCAAAACCAATCAACCAGATAATCAATCAGATAGACTCGACTCGCCCTCAAATTGTCTCCACCCTCCAAATTCGCGCTGCTCATACTGTTTTCGATAAATTGTTTTAAAACCCAATAAATTACATGAGTTTTAAGCCCAACTCTTCTGGTCAAATATATTGGGCTATTGGTTAACCCAGTCCACTTAAACTCCCCATCGCTGATCGTTTCCTCGGGGGTTTGGCGCGAAGTACCCTTGAACAATATAGACTTCTTTTTTTTTTGTTTTTTCCCTAAAGATTAGGAAGAAAATAATTGTTTTCACTTTCATAATTGACCTTTTGTAATTATTTTTCTGAAACAGAAAGAGTATAAAACAAAATAAATCAAGTTTTATGAGAGAACTTATATCGATTTGTGAGATATAGAGTTGTGTTATTATTTTGTGTTTGTGCTATAATATGACCAATGACCCATTAAATCTCTAGTTCTCTACGAAGCTATCAATCCTCGAGAAGGTCTTATTCACGGAATCCATGAACTCTGAATTTGTAACTTGAAATTTTTTAGTTTCAGCTTTTGTTCCGAAGTGTTACTGAAAAGACATTTATATTACGAACCACAAAAACAAGGAGTGGAAATGAAACATTTGTAAGTGACACTATCACTATGTAGACAGAAAAGCAATTGAATCCGTACTAACAGTTTATTTGGTTTGATTTAGATTATACTCACTCCGTCCCATAATTATTGTTCAGTTTGATTTTTCATTTCTAGTTCAATTTGTACTAAAAGTGAAATCTCAAACTGGTCAATAATTTTTGAGACAGATGGAGTAAATTGAATGCCCAGCACGTGGATTTAGCAGCTCAGTTCATGATGATTACATTATTGATTGCTTGGCTGCCGTTTTTGCCTTCTTTTTTTCAGTACTCAGGGTACCACCCAACTCAGGTCAGCAGAATCCTCCAACAGAAAATGCAATAATAATAATAATAATAGAAAAAGTACGAGAAGGGGAAAAGTAAAAGCCATTCATTTCAAATTTGACGTATCTGATGAAGTAATAATGTACTTTCATTGTATTCTTTTGCCTGGCAGTCAGGGGAGTAATTAAAAAACAAGGACCACCGCTTTCTTTGGGTTTTTTTTTTTTTACCCACATTTACACAAATTTCAGTGGTTTCCTCATAAGTACTGATGGATGACATTACCGTTATCTTTCACTTTAATTTGAGTTTTTGTATCTGGTACAACTGGACGAGACGTCAGTGAATATGTGCGCCCATGATTTTTCACCACATTTTCCTATCTATCGGCCGGGTGGCTTTTTGATCGTTTAAGGTACGCTTCACTGAAAATGAACACTGATCCACCATACAAAGTTCAACTAATCGTCTAAGTGGCTACCTTTTTGTTTTTCCAGTGGAATCGGGAAAAAGGGATGCTAATAATGTGAAAATTGTGTGTATTTTTTTTTTATTTTTTATTTGTATGTATATAGATACACAACAATCAAATCTCAGTCTTTATTATAAGGTATTTTAATTTCTCATAAATTTCATTTCACATAATTAATAATTAAAAATAAAATCTTAAAAATAATTCATTATTCCTCCAGTTTAATGAAGACGGGTAAGAGTAGATTTTTCGTAAACTTAAGTCCTGTATCAGTCCATTACCTTCGAAGAAAAATAAATTTAGGTCAATATATATGAAAATGAATTTTTTTTTCCATTCACGGCAGTCATTTTTCCATCTTTTTGGTCCATAACGACTATGGTACCAAATTAACAAATCTTTTTTACTCTGTTAAAATTTATAACACAATGTGAATTGTTTTCCTTATTTATTCTTCTTCTCTAAAAAATACTGACATCATTTCCTTTATCTAATCTCCTAAAAGACACTAAATTAAGATGATGATGATGATTATCATTATTATTACTACCTCCGTCCCAAAAAAAAAAAAGTCTACATTGGATTTTCAAATTCATACTAAATATAGTACAAAAGTCAAAACTCAATGTGGACTATTTTTGTAGGATAGAGGAAGTATTATTATTATTACTATGTGTTAGACCCGTCCAATGGACGAGGAGAATATGTACATATAAACATTACAACACAAGCAAAATAATAAAAATATCACTATTTCTATAGATTTTGTACTTTTATAAAATGTTAATTATAAATTATATAATTATTTCATTGAAAAATATAAAACACAAACATCAACAACACTTTACAAAATGGTAATAATTTATTTAATGCAAAGAGAATTATTTAAAAAATCTAAAAAAAAGGAATATAAAAAAGAAAACATAATTAACTTTGAATTGAATGATTATATGTCATGCAATACTTCTATGTGAACGAAATTCATATTCTTAAATTGACGTTACCACATTCATCGCATATTAGGTTCTTGATTCCTTGTCTCGAAGTGACTATTGATAAGGCGACATATAATTGGTCATGGTTAAAAACTGAACGTGGCACATAAAATGATTTGTTAATTTAAAGGTGTTAATCGGACGGCCAAATAAACTTAAATGGAAATTATAAAATAGAGATTTAATGGATGAAAATTTTTACCAAATACAATATAAATCATAATATAGAGAAAATAAAATTATGCAATAATAGATGAATTTTCTATGAAAAACAAAAATGCTAGTTATAAATGTATAGTAGCTTTTTTATAATGGCTTCATTCATAAAAAAAATATAAAATAGATAAACAAAAATATATGTGATATGGATATTTTCAGCGTAATGTGGAATGTTGAGAAAAGAAAAAAAAAGTATTCAACTTCGAATTGAATAATTATATATCTTGTAATAATTTAAATCAAAATCATTAAACTTATTTTTAATGACATTTTATGGTAGAATCATTTTTTTTTTTTTGTTGATTCTAAGGTAGGATCATTTTTTTTTATCACATTAATAATATCACTGAAGTTATTTGCATATTTAAATTTGGTCTCTCTCAACTTGTTTTTAATAATATCCCACAATTACTTTGTAGTGGGTATCTATTTTTTTTCTTAATGATATTGCAAATTTACCCTAGACATTTTTAAATCTAAAAAATTAAGAAAATGCCACATAGGATTAAATCCTATGTGCCATGTGCTCCATGTCTTTAGATTTCTCTCTCTGGTTTTTGTCTTAGTATAGTATATAGAAGATTATTATTATTATTATTATTATTATTTGCATATTTACAATGTAACCGTGAGTAACATCGACTAGTCACTTCCTGAATTAAAAGAAGTTCAGTAATTAAAAGTTTAAAGAATTGCCTATAGCCTTAACGGATTTTAAAATTCAAAGTTTCAAACTAATGTAATACCCCCCTTTGGTCTTTTTCTTAACTTCTCCACAGTAAATTATTCGCGGTAAACTGCATCGCTAGAAAGCGCGCGTGACATTTAACAGTAACTGCTTCGCGGCAAAAACAATTTTAACGGTTGGAAGTCGGGGGCTGTAAAGTAAATTCGGGGCAAATACTTTGCATTCCCCACCTACCGAGGCGGCTAAAATTCACGTGCACCAATATTTTGACTCTACTCTCTCATTCAGGTTAAGTTGCACATTGGAATCATTAATTAGTCTTGATTCTTTTTGAGATTAAAAATATAGTAAAAAAAAATACTACTTCACTATAATTAACCATTAAACAACTGTAATATATTCAGGTTCAAAATGATACTTTTTATCAACAACAAAACAAGACTATATATATTTCCATTTTTCAGTACTTAAAAGGAGGTAAAAATCGAAGTTGAATTCTTAAGCAGCTCCAATTTAGGGATGAGCAATTCTTAATTTGTAATGCCGTAAACAAAATATCATACTATTCAGACACTTAAAGGATAAATTGACATTAAATTAACTTTCCCAAATAATGGAATGATACTTGTTTGAATTCCACTAATATGAGACATGAATATGAATATGTGGTTTATATGTCTTTAAGTTCTTCCCGATTATAAGCTAACTTTTGAAGGGCTCTATCCAGGAGGCATGACATAGAAATTACTTTATTTTTAATTACCAACATAAGTCGTCAATATTGAGTTTTTAATATAAATGTTAAAATTCAATATCAACTATTTTTTGAGACAGAGATAATATACTCCCTCCGTCTCATAATTATTGTCCAGTTTAGTTAAAATGGAAGATTTTATTTTTGGTCAAATTTAATTATATTTTGACTTAAACAACCGGATATACCCCTGCATAAATAATTGTTCAACCGACAAAGGTCTCATTTACTACTTTCTCACATTAGCACCGGAAATTCAAAACCCAATTCGTATAATCAATCAAAACTCAAGAACAATAATCGAAGAACATATAGAGCTATGCAATCTCTTTATTCTTCTTCTTCATCCGGATTAATGAATTTCGGTGCTCTCAAGTCCATGATTGCCGGGACTTCTCCATCTAGCATAACACAACAGTCGCCAAGTTTGAATTTGGTTACCATGAATGGCCAGAAACATCACTCTATGGATAAGTCCATGTTTATGAATCTGGTATACCATGTATGCCCTGAAACATTCTTGAATTTGGTTCTGAGGGACTTACACCCATGCTATATCTTGGTGGCGCCGGCGGAAAAATCACCGTGATGGCCAAAGGTCTCTGAATCTTGTCTCTATTTACTCCCTTCCCAAGGCGCGGCGTCTTTAGATCTTGTTCCAATTGATTCTCTTCCAAAGGCACTGACAATTGGTGATCTCTTGTCGACTCCGATGCAAGCTCCGGTGGCATAGCAGGGAGTTCTGATTCACAGTTCAAAGCTCCGGATTTTTAATTAAAAGGCAAAAGTGTAACTTATCCCATAAAAAGTCAAATTGGACAATAATTTTGGGACAAAATTTTTTTGGCAAAGTGGACAATAATTTTGGGACGGAAAGATTATATTTTAATAAGGCTATTTTATCTGTTATGAAATTAGTTTCCTTGTACACATATTTTAGAATTTATCTCTCAATCTCCATCAAGTTATGGATTTCTCATAGCAGCCGAAACCTCATAGACTGCCCCTTTCCATATAAGGCCATAACCATTCTAATCACCTACAAATTACTCCTTCATTCTGTTAAAAAATTAATAATAATCTTGATTTTAAAAATTTGAGCTAAAGCTCAATCAATATAAATCTCAAAACGGATTGCAAAGAAGTACTAAAAATTTGTAAAAAAGAACATAACTCAAAAACTATCACTCTATATTTCTTAAAATAAAAGGATGTAACTAAAAGTAATACTCCCTCCGGTCTTATTAATATGAAAATATTATTTTTAAGGTTTTATTTTTAATTAGAAAAACATACTAAATGAAATTTAAGACATATCAAAATGCCTTTTAATATGGAGAAGAGAAAAAATTGTATTTTATAAAATGCAAACTAAATTACGTAAACAAGACACAAAGGAAGTAGTACTTATTCAAGTGTGACATTATAATGCTAACTATGTCGGCTTCTTATATTGATAACGTCCGTATGACAAAATCAACTACAAATTGTGGTATGATTTGCCGTCACGTACGAAGAAGATAGAGTTAACCAATTTCAAGAGGGAGAAAAGAAGAAAGCCATCAAAGAAATACGTGGACAAAGAAAAGAATATAGTAGTAGTATATTAGTATATGCATGCCCCGAGTCAACAAATTGGATTAGTTGACGTAACACATATAGTGCTCTGCCTAACAAAATAGACTGATCCGTCGACAAATTCAATTTAATTACTTGTGTTTTTAATTCCCCTTGACTTTTATTCTATAGGTTGGAATCCAAGCCACTGAATTCATGTCGAATTCCTTTTGGCTTTGGGTTTTGATGGCCATTTTATTTATTTTTAATTGATTTTCTCCATTTTTTGAAATTTGATGTTGTGTCCGTTCTCAAGAAATGATCGATCTCAAGTGTAGTTTTTTGACATGCATTAAATAAAATTTGCAAATAAATAAATTTAGAGTGAAACAATTAAAACCACTGCTTAATGAGTTTTCTTTTCTTTTTCTTTTTTGGTGCCCAAATTCGAAGTCCACTAACAAATGATGAGTACGTTATTTCTTCCATTCTTTAACAACTTACGATGAGTACAATTCAATTCAGAGCTCTAATCCTTATGGCCTGGGTGCCTTTAGTATAAAGCTACTGCCTCTCCTATAGTGAATTTTCTATTAGCGGCTTTTTATTAAAAGAAGAACGATTTTACGAATCATATATTCCCTCTCTCCCAAAAATATTATCCATTTTGATATTTTACTTTTAGTACAATTTGAACTAAAAATAAAAACCTAAAATCGATAATAATTATAGGACGGAAGGAGTATTTCATTATTATATTCCTTCTGTTTCAAAGAAAAAAAAGTTCACATTCCAAAAAAAATAAATTTACACTTCATATGATCTATTTTTGTGAGATAGAGGTGATATAAAAGTTTGTAACCTCGAGTGTCTCATTATCATCATCGTAAGTATTTTTGGAAAAATAAATTTTCAACTTAACTAAGGTTTACACCTGAGTGATTAGGAAAGATAACTACTGCATCATTCTGAACTACACGTATAACTTAAACATTGTTGATTGTTCTCTACGAAGGTGTGCATAAACCTCACTTTCCAAATTCCAATCATGGTTTTCATTTCATTATGTCAAAAGAAAAATATAAAGGAAAAAAAAAAGATTGATGGCTTTCAATTTAAATCGTCACATGCCACGCGTGACGCGCTCGTAAAATCGAGCGTGGGTAATTAGATAAGGGACGATGATGATGACCCCAAATCTATCTAAATTAAAAAGAGGGAGGGAAAGTGACAGTTACTTTTACTTAAGAAGAATGTGCCTCGTCCAAACTCCAAAATTGACTGCTTGCTTCAGTACTTCCACTACTTCCCTCACTTTTTTCTTTTTCATTTGTTCTAAATAATCTTCTTCTTCTTCTTCTTCTTTTTTTGAGGGGTCAAAATTCTTCTAATAACTAATTCTAAAACGGATAATAATCTAAAAAGAAAATGACGCAAGATAATAAAAATAAAAATTACGGTGATCAACTGCCACTAGTTTCCTCCTAATTCCATTTCCCTTTCAACCCTACGCCACCCCACTCATTGAACTGTCTTTTTTGGTTGAATAATACCAAAGTACCAATTGTTCCTCAATTTGGAGACGCATTTCACAATTTCTCAATATTTTATGCAGTTTTTAAAATTGATAAACTTTTTTTATTTGGTCAAGAATCATGCACCCGTCAACTCCATTAATATGATGCTCTTTCTGTCTCGAAATTATTGTTCAGTTTGAATTTTTATTTTTTGTACAAACTGTGTCTATTTCAAAAACACAGAAAATTCAAACTGAACAATAATTTGGAGATAGACAGAGTATATGCATGTAACAAGTGAATATTGAAGTTGAACACTGATTTCACGTAGCCTTAATCACCAGCAATCTAATCATAAACAAAAAGTGAAAATAGCAACTTTAATCAATGAAGCTAGAAAAAGAAAAAATAAAATTCCAAAAAAAAAATTAAATGAAAATCAGCTGGTTGAATGTGTTCAAAATAAAGATCCTTCCTAATAGAGATAAGTCTTGCTGCTGCTACTACTTTATTCTGAAATATTTCCTAGGTGGATTGATCCCATTTCCCAATACACAAAAGAATGGAAATAAATAAAAGAAAAATAAATAAATCAGGTGGCTCTGTTAATATTCTTCTCCTTTTTCTCTTTCTTATTCTGCAAATTCTTGTTCGGATTCAGAAATTCTTATTTATTTTTTTTTTGCTGGCTTTTTTTGTCTGTCACTAGAATACCCATAACCCAATTTCCCTTTTTCTTTTTGCAAAATTCTTGAATTTTCATTTTTTTTATATTTATTTTGTGTCATTCAAAAAGAGAATCATTTCATTCTGTTTCTGTCTTCTCTTCTCTGCCCTTAACTTCTCTCCTTTTGCATCTTTTTCAACATCACCACCATTCACCATTGCCATTCTCCTTGCTCTGTTTTTCTTTTCCTTTTTATTTTTTTTTTTCCTTTTTGTTCAGAATTTTTCCTCCCTTTCTCTCATTCTGTTTTGAACTGTTCATCAACTCTGATTTGTTTCTTTGTTCCAATATTTGATTTTGGAGGCAGCTCAAAAAACTGTAACTTTCTTCCTCTTTGAATCATTCATTCTACAGATGAAGGTATAATTCTGATTCTGATTCTGATCCCCCTTTAAAAATTGATTCTTTGGCTATGTTTCTTCTTTAAGGAATGGATGGAAGTTTATTCTCCCACCAACCCGTCAAGATTTTTGAGCTTTTTGGCTGTAGTATATACATGAATCTGGGGAATTATTATTTTGCTTTCTTAAGCATTTGTCATTATAAAGTTTTTGGGTTCTTTTTCTCTTTTATTTCAAAAGGTTTTTAAAGAAGGGGAAAAAGAGTTAAAATAACATAAAGATTGTCCTGTTTGACATCGAGTTAGTAAGTAAACGTGTATTTAATTTAACTCAACCCTGATTACGAAAAGTAAATAATGATTTCTGGTGGGGTTCTTGAATCTGCTCTGTTAAGCTGGATTTGTGGTGTTTTCTTTTTCTATCTTTTTTCCTTTTTAATCCATATTTGTCTATGTAGTTCTTGATTGAGTTGTTTCTGGAAAGTTTATTATTTATTACGTTTGAGACTAATGTTAATTAATTTGGATTTCCTGCAGAAGTTTATACTGAAACTGGTTCTGCTCGATGATAAAGATAAGCGTAAGGCAATGAAGATTGTCTCTGCCCTTCAAGGTAACTGTCCTTATATTCAGGTGACAAATTAAGTATAGTTAGAAATGTTTTGTGGACCTGTAGGCTGTAGAAATGAATCATTTGTGCAGGTTTTGATAATTTTGTTTTACTTTTAGTGGGTTTAAAGTTCGGAAAAAAAACTAATGTCTAAACAGAGCAGGCTCTGCTAGTTATTAAAGACGGAGAATAGAAGTTCAATGATTTCTAGCAGCTTTTTGGTTTTCGAAATCTCAAATTGTTGAGTAATTACATTGGCCAATTAACAAAATTTAGGTATTTGTTAGATGTTAAACCTATTCTTGATAAATTAAACCTTGATTTAACATGAGTGGGGTATATTTTGCTTTGCTGCTGCGGAATTGATATGTTTGCTGAGATTAACTAGTCATCAAGATTGATTATTGGGCGCATAGGTTGATGCTAGCAAAACAAGTAATCCACGATGTTTGAAGAAAATACAATATAAAGTTCGTTGGTTGGAGCTGATTTACTGACTAGTTACCATCCTAGATGAACATATAATTTCAGAGAATCGGGGCCTGCATAAATAATTTGGTGTTGAACAAATAACTTGTATGATCACTGATCGTAAAGGCTTTCTTTTAGCCATGGTGGCACTTCATTTTGTCATCCTAAAGAAACTGGAACAATTGTATATTTCTCTGTGTCCAAATAATAAATAATCTTGTATGGTGTGGCATTTTATTTGGCAGGGATTGATGAGATATCTATTGACATGAAGGGGCAGAAACTGACAATAATCGGGACGGTTGACCCCGTAAGCGTCGTGAGCAAATTGCGTAAATTCTGGTCGACAGACATTATCTCAGTAGGTCCAGCGAAAGAGCCCGAGAAGAAGGAGGAGCCGAAGAAAGAAGAACCTAAGAAGGAGGAAGCGAAGAAGGAAGAACCGGCGAAAGAGGAGCCGAAGAAAGAAGAGGCGAAGAAGGAAGGAGAAGAGCCGAAAAAGGAAGAACCTAAGAAAGAGGAAGAAAAGAAACCTCCGCCACCTATACTCGAACCGATTATTGGCACGGTAATGCCTTATCGACCATATTACCCTCCAATGCAGACTTATTATTATGCTAATCACAGCATGGAGGAGAATCCTAATGCGTGCGTTATATGCTGAATTTGGCGCAAAAGCTTGTATTCGGGGAGATGCGAGTGAACTCAGGCAACAGCTTATGAACAGGGCTGTTCAAATTGTATAGGATTCAATGCCACATTGATCTATCTGTTCATCAAGATAAAAGATATCTGTAAAGATGCATGGTTAAAATAAGAAAAATTTTGGCCTAGTGATATTGAAAGCGAGGAATTTGCATATACTGTTATAGATAAGTGCTTCATTTCTGAGCATGTGTAAATTCAGGAAATTCTGCTGGGAAAATCTTCTCATTGGATCATGATCAGGTATCAGAAATTGTTGAAAGGTTGGTATCAACCCACTGTTTGCATCACTTTTACGTAACCACATTTCTTTTTGTACTTAACACAGTAGTTTACATCATGATAGAAAAACTGATAAAAGTAATGGTGGATATGCATTCTTTTGCTCTGGTTGTTGTTGCCTTGTTGGTAGGATGGATGGTTGAATTCAACATTGTGATGAGAAGTAAATGGTCAAATTAGACCTTTACTTTTATCAGAACATTTATTTTCCCCCCCTTCTTTGCGCCATTTATTCCTGAAAAATGAGAATGGATGGATCTGCTAGTGGTTCTGAACCAGAAGATCGAAAGCCTTGGAAGATGACGCATGCGTTGCAACTTTTGTGATATGAGTTTTGGTTAAAAAGAGAGGTGAAAAAAAGAGGGAAACATATGGAAACATTGATCTTCAATTGACGTGTAAAGCATTGAAGGACAAAGACTAGGTGGATGATTTTCTCGCATGCATTATAAGGGCAAATTTGTTTTTATTAAAACGTTATTCATTTTGAAAATTACATGCTTAATAGGGATTTTGTCTGTTTAGATGTCTGTATTAGACAAACAAGCATGTGGGTTGATGGTTACTTTTTCCTCGTGAGGGAATAAGTTCATCTCCCAAACTTACTGGCAAACCATGTGTTAGGAAAAAAAAAATTCCCCGCCCTAATTGAAGAACATCCACTTTTTTTTTCCTCTCTTCTTTTTCTCTCCTTTTTAACAGAATTATTGTTCCCCTCCTTCACCTTGATTGCTGCAATGTAAGCTCAAGTTGTACACAGCACTAACTAAGGTGAAGGGGCAAGATTGCATTTTCGCAACGGGTAAGAATCGAACTTGTGACTCTACTAAAATTTTTTTTTGAATGTCTTTGACTTGATTTATAATAGTTCGACCGTATATATGTTGATTCTTACTAACATTGTCCTAAGAACATAGTGCTTAATTTAGTCTTTCTGTCTTTATGCTTTTGTTGATATTTTTATATGTCTAAGCAACCTTATATATAACTCTACAAAAAAAAGGGACATTTTACCTTATTGTCTATTTTAACAACGAAGCAAAATGATTTAGTAATTTATCTCTTAAACTAGGGTCCATATGTAGACCTAGTTTAAGTCATCAAAGTAATGATGACATTGATGGGCACTTATAAATTAACGAAGGCAACTGATGCATGGAATTCATGGAAGATTTGCCCATTTTAACACTACTCTATTATCATTCATTGGCCACTTGGATGTCACTTTTATGTTTTCTTGTCCTTGTTGACATACTAGTTGGATTAACTACACGTCTTATTATTTAAAACCCCCCCAAAAAAAAGGATTTAAATTGTCTCAACCAAATTTAAACTCGTGGAAACATTTATAATGAATTATACCTATCAGTCTATTTTACATTCCAGAGATCAATGGAAGTAACATGAATATGAAGCTAATATTGAAATCGAAATCAAAAGGTTATGCACACAAGCCATTAACTTTCTTTTAATGGACATGGAGAAAGCTATAAGGATTCTAGATTCTTCTGTTTTTGATCATCCTTACGTTTTCAACCATGCTTCACAAAAGTTGTTATCCTACTTTGTTCGTTCATCTTCTTATTAGAGCACAATGTTTCGACGAGGGGCTTATGACTCAGTTGTCATTTTCACATGCGTGGATTTGGTCATGACGAAAATGAAAGGACTTCTCTATTTCTAATACGAACATTTTATAGGGGTTTATAACACTCCACGTCAGCTATGGAGTATTTTTTTTTACTATTTATTTTTTACTATGCATATCATTTTTCTTCTAATATTTAGTTTTTTTCCTTAACCACATCTTAATCGCCCCTCCCCCCCCTCCCCCACCAAACCAACTTATTCTATATATTGTCTAGTTTCGAATACTCTTTTCATTTCAAAAAAATTTTAGTTTCATAGTGACCTATTTTGATTATGAATTTTTTTTTTATTTTAGAAAAAGTAACTAATGATATAAATTAACTACGGGATCCCATGATGGCCCTGTGTAAGTGCCATTAAGAACCATCTTTCTAGTCTATTTAAATAGTCAACGAAAAGGGTATCTGCTTTTCTCCATTTTCCAAGCTTACCACTCAACGGATATAGTTGTTTGAAACAAAAATAGTACTCCTAACAATAAGAAGAAGAAGAAAACCCTAGCTCCATGGTGATCTTCTTCTTTTCTTTTTCTTTTTTTTTTAATCTTAAAACATAAGGAACGACCGGAACAAGTTCCTAATGCATCGCTTGATCAATACTCAGAGTGGAGTAAATAGGTATCATTTCGTTCCATAAAAATAATGTACATTATTATAGTTTATAAATTACATTGTTTTTAGTACAATCTATCTACAATTTATAAAGTAGACTAATATTTTTGTGGAAGTATTAGACAAATATCAAAATTAGATCGATACTTGTGAAAGTCTTAGTTATAACTAATATTATTCCATCCCCTTTTCAAAAAAAAAAAAAAAACTAATATTATTCCATCCATCTCATTGATAGCGGCTGATTTCTTATAACTAATATTATCAAAATATTGCTTTCTTTTTCTTCTTTTTTTTTTTTATCCTGTGAACGAAGGGAGAATTTGTTAAGAAATCCATTCCTACTTAATCAATCTATTAATAAACGGAAGCTTACATAAGGCAGCAATCAACAAGTTCAATCATTATAATAATAGTGAACAAGTAACAAACAATAACGTTATCATCACAATTAGATCATACGTCCACAAAAACAAACTTTAATTTTGGTCATCATCCCGACAAATCTAATAATCTCTTTATGATCAGAGGCCATATCATATCATTTCATTGAGCCTAATTACGCCTAATTAATTAGACCTTCATTAGAGTAGTAGTAGTGGATTACTTTTTTGGTGATATAAACAGAAAGTCGACCAGAAATATATACAAAACCCGACTATTGCGCTTACATTTGACGCTAGCTAAAAATAATTCAGGCTAAGACAGCTACAGCAAAGGTCGGTCGAATAGGTAAGACTAGTACAATACGTAGCATGATAGTGTTGAAATTTGAGGACCAAATTGATCACCCCAACCTCTCCTTTATGAGTCAGATTTTGTCACATCCCCCCTTGAAGGAAATCATCAAAAACGACTCTATATGATCTGGTGATAGTTTCCAACGTACACTTTTTCTGTTCTAAGACGATAAACATGATAATTATTTTGAACTGAAAAGAGTATATTTTTTCTGATAATCAATTTTGATGATGAATTGAGGATTCATTTTTTCGTTTAGGTCCAAATGGTGAGAGACAAAACTTGATCACACCAAAACTCTTTAGGGGTAATGCGTTGCGTCACACCAGCTTCTTCATAGGGACAAAGACATTTAGAATAAAAAGGCAAATTAATATACATGGAAAAAACACATCAACTGAATCTCCTCCATCCATATATCTGTTCCTTTTGGTTTTTGATTTGTTAACATATGAATGTGGACGAGAGGAGAGGGTTGAATTGTATTAAAATAATCAAGTGAATTATGAATGCTTGTCGCACCAGTTATGTATATAGCAAATTGTAATGTTTTTAGACTCTTATTTACTGGCCCCTTCATGGCATGGAAAAGGCAAGTTTTACCGATATAGATTATTGTAGTCGTCTAAACTGTGAAACCTACCAAGTAGCTAGTATTAGCAGCGGTATATCTAACCTTTCAAGATCTTCTTGGAACAAGTTATTATCAATTACTTGAATGTTATCTTTATCATATATAGTTGACCAGTCATAAAATAAACCCTAACCCTAATGGGTTTAGGCCGGCTACCTTGGAGGCTAAGTCACCGTCTAAACCTATTACGACTAGGTTTCAGAAACAGGTAACACCACCTCTATATAAAGAGGTGGTGCATCTCTCATAATTCATATCTTCTTCCTATCTTCTACATCTTCTATACACGATACACATCCTTCTCTCTCTACTCTCTTTACTCTCTTATTGACTTAAGCATCGGAGTGTCTACCCTCGGGAGACACCCGAGGCTCTGTCTTGCAGGTTTTAGGCCATCCGCCGCTACCTAGGTCATCATTGCCGCCCGTCCTAAGCACCGTACAAATCCATGCTTCGTCAAGTGACACGCCCAGTGGGACCGATTTGTTTGGTCTTCACAACCAAATAATTTCTTGAAGCGAAACTGAAATTTATTGGTGCTTTACGATGATCATCGGATGATTTGATGTGCAAATCCATATAAGCTCTCAAGTCATTCGAAGCAAGGGCAATTTTGAGGATTGAAGTTTCGAGAGATACATCTCCTCAAAGGGGCAAGCATCCCTCGAGCAAGACACTACTATTCGAAGTGTTTGAGAAGACGTATCTCGACTTTCATAATATCTTTTCTGAATCGAGGTAACACATTCTCGAGTAATTAATTTATTACGAGATCGAGGTACTTCTAAAACCTTTCCATGCTTTAATATCTGATATCATTATCATATTATTATCATATCACGATATCTTTTTGAGCACGATCAAAGGAGTTCTTCAAATTACCAACCCTCTCGCGGTAAAACCCTATCACCCTTCAACGAGGAAAACGTACTCGGGAGCACAAACATGGACATACTCTTGGGGCAAGGAATTCGAGGGATCATCCTAATATCCTCTGCTTGAATTGATATTCTTTACGAGCATCTTATTACTATATGTCATTCTTTTATTATTATTATTGCAATATCTTTGTCGAGTTTAATGGCAGAATCCACAAGCTTGAGCCACTCGATCTCAATCTCCTAAGAAATCCTTATACACCACGTTCCTCGAGAAGACCACCACCTATCGACCATTGCCTTCTAAAGACCTTCTTCTGTCCATCATTGTCTTCTCGAGAACCCTTTCTCCAGCGACTACTCATCCATTCGAGGACGGTCCTCTCACGGACCATTGTCTCTCATCGAGACCGTCTTTTCATACACCTTTGTCCTCCTGAAGATCGTCATCCATTCGAGGACCGTCCTCTCACGGACCATTGTCTCTCATCGAGACCGTCTTTCATAGACCTTTGTCCTCTTGAAGATCGTCCTTTGGAAAGACCTTCCATTGTCGACCATTGTCCTTCCGAGGACCACCCCTTGTCGACCTTTGTCTTTCCAAGGACCCCGTCATCGTCGACCCTTGTCCTCTCGAGGACCTTCTTCTGTCGACCATCACCCTTTTGTTCATCTTGCAGGAACATCATGTTCGAGAACTGGGGCAATATTACAGAAGTCGATAAGCCGTCAACACTCCAGGCTCGTACTTTTAGCAACCCATATTCTTCTCATCAAGTCTCGAGAATATGGCTTGTTAGGGGCACTTGACGAGTCATAAAATAAACCTTAACCCTAATGGGTTTGGACCGGCTACCTTGGAGGCTAAGTCACCACCTAAACCTATTACGACTAGGTTTCAGGAAACAAGTAACACCACCTCTATATAAAGAGGTGGTGCCTCTCCCATAATTCATATCTTCTACCTATCTTCTACACCTTCTATATACGATACACATCTTTCTCTCTCTACTTTCTTTACTCTCTTATTGACTTAAGCATCAGAGCGTCTACTCTCGGGAGACACCCGAGGCTCTGTCTTGCAGGTTTTAGGCCGTCCGCCGCTGCCTAGGTCATCATCGCTGCCCGTCCTAAGCATTGTACAAATCCATGCTTCATCAATAGTTGAATCCAGAATCTACAATTTTGTCAAAGGCGCCAAATGTGTAATAGTTATATGAAAGAGAAAAAGAAAATACAACCGTCAAAAGTTATATAATGGGCAAAATATCCCATAACACGTACGTGAAAATGGTTTATCAATTTGTACTCCGGTCTCCGAATCCTTTGTAGTGACTTTAATTGATGTATGTCATCAAAGTATTTTAAAATCATTTTTCTTATGAAATACATTGAAAACCCACAATCAAGTCTCCATTGCTGTATTTTCAAACTGCAAAAAAATTACTCCCTCCGTCCCATAATTATTGTCCAGTTTCACCAAAATGGAAAAATTTATTTTTTGGTCTAACTTAACAATGCTTTGGCTAAAGTTCCAGATATATCCTTGTCTATGAAATTGTATAACCGGCAAAAAAATTATGGATTTATAGATAATTATTGTACAGCTTTGGTGATTTGTTGAATGACCCGCTCCTAGATCTGAGTCGGTGCTGAAGACTTACCGTCGGGATTTGCAGGATTTCGGGTCTAGTCTTAGGAAGGAAACTGAAATCATCCGTGAAGCGGCGAGCCGAGCCGTGAAGGAACTCCCATCTTCAATCGAGTTTGGGGCGTCGATAGCTCATGGATCTCTGGAATTGGTTAGCCACGCCATCGATGGGGTCATCAAATTTACCGTTGGAATCATCTCACGGCGGCGGCAGCGCGGCGGCTGAAAAGCTTCCTGGGTGGGATGTCGATTTCTCTCTGGCTTTTCTTGCCGCCAATATAGGGTTGGTGAGAGTGGTGAAAATTGTGTTGTTGTGGTTGTTGCTGTTGATAAGCACAAACGGAATCCATATCCGGAATGAGAAGCCAAAAAGATGATAAAATTGTGATGAAAAATCTCTCTGTTTTTGGGGCTAGAAAAGAATTAAATCTTAAGGAGACATGGAAGGAGTCTTGTGTTGGGCTTGAATAAACTGAGCAAATGCATTTTCTGAAGTTGAATCCGATACACAAAAGGGCAAATATGTAACTCATTCCATAAAAAGTCAAATTGGATAATAATTTTGGGACAAAATTCTTTTGGCAAAGTGGACAATAATTATGGGACGGAGGGAGTACATATTACGTATGTAAACAAATTAATAATCTTAAAAAGAACAAAAAAAAATCATAAACCAAAATTATTATTTTTTTAATTCTTATTCTTTATTCAAATTACTCTAACAATCGTGATTTAAATTAACAATTAACAAAGGCGTGATAACAAAGGCGTGATAGAATTCTTAAATTACTCTTTATTCATCATCTCTCTTTGCACTTGGTCTCGTCAAAGGCGTGATAACAAATTAACAATTGCTAGAAACGCGCCGGCTAGAAGGCCCTACTTCTGGATTTAAATCCGTTGCTTGAGTAAAGTATGGTCCTAAGGCCCAAAACGTAATGGCCTACCTTTCAAATGAAATGATCTTCAATTTGTAAAGGTTGAATGAACAAACCAAGAAATTCCACACCTTCGGGAGTCGGAACAATCCACATAAAATAAGCCAGGCCTTCCACCAATGCACAAAGCCACAAATCAAGAAGTACTCTAAAAAAATTCTCCCCTAATGAAGATACGGCATTTTACGATGGTTGAAATTAGAAACTTTTTTTTTTTTGGGTGAAAAAATTAGAAACTTTCGAACATTACCTAATGCTCAAATGCCGCTTTGGATCATATGCATACAAATCTTTTAATTCCATCATCAATCGTGTATATTACAACAATATATAATTAACTTTGTCAACATTACGAGTCAAACATTCATATTGATAGAGATTACCAAAACTTTTTCAAAATAGGAGCATAATCAAAATATAGGTCGAAAATTTAGGAACCAATGGCATAACTAGATAATTAAATAATACCTCCTCCGTCCCAAAATGATTATCCAGTTCGGACATTCATTCTTAGTATAAATTACACTAAAAATAAAACATCTGAACATGACAATTATTTTGGGACAGAAATATTCTTATTTTATCTAATTAGTTAATGATTTAACCAATTAGTGGGAATTAACTCTTAATATCCCTAATTAACCAGCTGTGTCTGAGACATGGGGGAATGAGGAGACAATATTCCAGTAGTACTACTTCTTGGTGATGCTTTGTTGAGACCAACATGATCATGATGATCGTGTCTGCTTCCTCCAGCTGATGATAACTTTAAGCTAAGTCTGCTGAGATTATTCCTTCGCCATTCTTCTTTCCTTTTCAAATTCTCCATGAAATTCTTTATCCTTTTCAAAGCCAATTCCAATGTCTCTTCATCCATGTTTGCAAAACAAACCCTAAACCAGCCCGGCTCGTTACAATGGAACGAAAACCCTGGAGAAACATTAAGCTTAACTTGGTTAATAATCACTTTCCAAAGCACCATTTCCGCTTCGAACGTGGATTCTTTTAGTAATTGACGTAAATCCATCCAACAAAACAACCCGGCGTTACTTGTAAGGCAAGTAATCCCAACCTCACGTAGCCCGTTCGTGAATTCCGCGTGCCTTTTGGCCAGCCTCTCGGAATTTCCGGCCAAGAAATGATGGATGAATTCGTCGTCCGATAGCATGGACGCCAAGAGATGCTGCGTTTGCGAGGAGACCAACCCGAAACTTGACATTTTCCGGCCACATTGCACGACGGCGTCATTGTAGGAGTACATGATTCCGACACGAAAACCCGGAAGCCCCATGTCCTTGGACAAGCTGTAAATAATGTGAATGAGGTTGCGGTTAACGGTACAATTTTCCACGCCTTCAATGACTTCGGCTATGCTGACAAAATTCCGGCCGGGAGGATTGCCGGCAAAGACGGTGGAGGAATAAATCTCGTCGCAAACGAGGTGGATTTGTTTGTCGTTGATGAATTTGAGGAGGATTGTTTGTGTGTCTAGGTCAACGGTCGTACCTAATGGATTTGAAGGGTTTGCGATAACCACGCCTTTGACTCGAATGTTGGATTTTCGGGCATTTTCATAGGCATCGTCCAAAGCTTCTTTTGTGATCTTGAAGTTGTTTGAGCTGTGGGAAATTACTGGCACGAGCTGGACGCCTGTTCTCCATTTTAGGTCCCTATCAAATCTGCGGTATCAAACCGTAATTAATCATCATGAGATGAGATAATCTTTAGATAACCAGCAATATGGTATGGTAATACGTTTCAATTAATTAAATACTTACAATACGTCTCGTGAAGAAAAATGTAGTAGTTTAATTTATTGAACCATACATATAAACATTAGTTTAGTCTTTTTAACTCAAAATTACAATCATATTCGTTGAATGAACTGAATTTCTATTATGGATTCACATTATTTCGAAACATGGTTCACACTACGGTGTGAGTTATTTTTATTTATGAACTTGCATGCATTGACTTCTTAATTTCACGAGTACGACTTTATTTTTTCCTTTTCTGTGGGTTGACTTCTTTTTTCAGTTTCTCACATTGCGACTTAAGAATGTCTGGTCATTTTTAGCATTTGGAATTTCGGATCTCAAAGGGTGGGCCCAACTTGGAAAATAGTCCCAAAATTTTCAATAAAGTCTCAAAGTCAAGGTCGAGGCTGGAAAAATTGATATGGTTATTCAGGCATTGATTATCAAAAAGCATATTACAACCTTTTTAATCCACGAATAATTATTGAAATCGATTATGCGGAAATCGTTTTTCTGTGGGAAGTTTAGCTATTCCGTATTCTCGGTATCTCATTCATATACATGAATTTGATTTCTTAAATTTCATTAAAAAGATATTTAGGGTTCTTATTTCCTCTTTTTCCAAACTTATTAAGAATATAATAACGAATAGTTTGTGAAAAAACATAGATGTATGTGTTCATGAAATATGAAAATACTCGTTCCTTTCTATTTTTATAATTTAATTTATTAAACTAAAACAGTATGTCCGATAGATGGAGTGAGTATATTGCAATAAGCTTACGCTGGATAATAAGGGGTAGGCACCAAGAAAGCGTCCCCAGGATCTGCTAAACAAAACATGATGAGCTCACTAGCTCCAGTTGCTCCACCGGCCATCACTATTCGGTCTGGATCAAAACTCACTCTATCTCCTCTTATTTTCCCCATTAGTCTCGCTACTGCCTGTAAGTTTCGTAACATTTTTATGGAATTAATTACTGATGACTACACTATATATATATATATAGACAAGATTTATACATATAATAATATATATATTAATGGCGTAACCAAAAAAAAAAAAAATTACTGACAAGAAGAGATGGTCAGTATTATTGGTTACACTATGCAAGATTGTGTGGCGGGTTTTTAACTTTATGAAAAAAAAAATAGAAAAATGAGTGCAATCGATGTACTGAATAATTTTATGTGGATAGTGTTTGCGTTAAATAATTATATATACTTACTTTTCTGAATTCGGGCAATCCGTGATAATCCTGGAAATTGGCTATGTCCTTGAACTTGTTTACTCCTTCAGTAGTGCAAATCGATGCTGCTGGATTTTTCCTAATCCACTCCTCTATCAAGTCACAAGATAGCTACATTCAAAAAAATCAAGCAAAACAAATAGATCATTCACACAGTTAAATAACCTTTTTATTCTACCTAATCTGATTAGTTGAGAAAATGAAGGGTTAAAGATACATGCATGCATGATTTACTAAACTTTGGAGAACCATAAAGCAAGTTAATTGAACCTGGTTTTCAGCAAGCCCCATTTGAATGATACCATCTGGATTTTTAGTGGGATGAAAAGGGTCAATTTCATATGCTTTCCAACCATCAAAATAAGGGGAGTTTTCCCCATGTTGATCATTGGTAGCAATCTTGGACAAAAGTTGGTGAATGGTACGACTACTTTCATTCTCCAAAGCCATATTAATCTATCAAATCTAGGCTTACAAAAAAAACTGAATTTGAAGTGATAAATGCAAACCTAGGTGGCTAGCAAAGTGAAGGCAACTGATTGAGAATTGAAGTTTAGAACTATATATATATAGATAGAATAATGCCTTACGAAATGCTAGCTTTTTTGGTAATGGCTTAAATGAGAAGCGTAACAAACGAACGACAGATATATATATATAGGCAAAACCTATTTACTTAGCTAGCTTAGGTAGAAGAAAACTACAAATTGAATCATGGTACTGTGTATGCTTGGAAAACAATAGAGAAAAGTCAACTAGCTGGCATGAAACATTCAAAAGTTTGGAAATTTATTGCCCACTGAAAAAGAAAGAAATAAACATAGGAAAAATGTCTAAATTTTAATAGAGTAATAATATAGACAGTAAAGTGTTATGCAATAAAAAAAAAATCAAATAAATAATGAAATTAGTGCCAAAAAAATTTACACCATACCTAATGTTTGTAATTATGTACAGTAGAATGTCGGTAAATTAATAATTTCTAACGATTAATAATTTTCTTCAGTCCCAACTTGGGACCAATACAAAAAGTAAAAAAAAAATCAACAAAATAATAAGATAATAAAATTTCAGAAAATCTCTTATATATTTAAAAATTAATAAATACACTAACAATAAAAAAATAATTATTATTATTATAATATATATTAGTAAAATATGAACTATTAATACTTGTTTTTTAGTCCCTAAAGATGATATGAACTATGTATAAATTTTTAGCGTTCAGAATAGTTTTAATACTTGATTGATTCGGATGTAAAGAAAACTGTAAATTAAGTAATTTAGTGACGGTTATTTTTTTCTCATACAAATCTTTTAAATTAATAATTTTTAATTTATCTACTATTTGATAATTCACTAAATTAATAAATTGTGGTGGTCCCAACACTATTAATTTATAGAAGTTCTATTGTATCATTTCAAGATTTGTAAAGAGCATAATGTTGATTTCGTCATTCTACTTGGGGGCATGTTACATCATTCACTCTTTCATTTTATCACTGTTAATTTCACTCTCTTAATTATTTGGTACCTTTAAATTTTTTCCCAATTACTAACCTTGCTATTAATCTTTTTTCGTAGTTTGGCAATGAGTTGTAATTGCTTGCGCTCGTCACTCGTGACCTGTTTTCATCGCTCAACGCACCACACACGTAAATCTCACGTGCAAATGTGAACAGTGCTGTTTTTGTTTTTAGAATTAATTTTTGCATGGTTTTGGTTAACTGCGTTTTGGTTTCCATATGAAGCAAACTTCTGATGGTTTTTCGTCGAAATGGAAATTTCAAATGTTGAAGGGATTTAAATGAACTGGTTGAGGGATTTGTTTTGGTCTGTAGTCCACAAAAACGTCACAATCCTGAGTTCTTTTGATTAGAATTTAGAAGAGGAGAAAGAACGTTGTGTTCTTATGTGGATGGGCCTGCCTGTATTTTTATTTCTATAGGAGAAAACGATCAACCTGTTCTTTGGCCTGTATTCAATTCAATAATTAACTTTGAAACATTCACAATAGCTGACGATATAATTGAACGCGAAACTCTTACGCTGCCATGCACTCATAAATTGCAATAATTAGTTTAAACATATAAATTGTAATTGAGATATTTCCGTAATAACATTTCCCTCTGCCAAAATACTCATGTTTATTGAATTATAAGTACAAGAAATATGGTTGTACAAGAAATATGGTTTTTATTATTATTACGGTAAAAAAAAAAATTAACTTACAAATTATTTTAGTTTTTGGTAAAAAAAGGATGTCACGTCCATAAAAACTCACTAAATCAAAATAGTGCGTGGATGAGAAATATTGGTTATGTAGTGCTGGTTTAACGACAATGTACTATCATGTAATTGTTAAAATTCTTGCGGAGCTCACACGGTTAAAAAAAAAATCAAACAAATAATCTATCACACTACGAAGTTATTTTAGCTTAGAAATGGACGAGCGAGTATATAAATTCGTGATTGACAACTTAATGATAATATAACTCACATTCTTCATTGATCTACAAATCTCAAAACAACAATACGTACGCATCATTCACGTAACTTGTGTAATCTCATCAGAATTCGAGAATTCTCTGATATATTATTGCTTATTTATTTTGTTGTGTTTGTTATAATGAACTTTCCTTCTGGCAGCATCTTAATTGCAAAACTTGCAAGTATGCAAGTTGTAAAAGTTGTGTGACTGAAGTTTTTTTTTTGGAAGAGTGATGATACACAACTCACTTAATTTATCTCACCTTCCTATCTCACCTTACATGGCATTTAGTTATTGGATGAAATTTAATAATCTAATTAATTATTAGATAAAATATAATAAGTTAATATAATTATTTTTTTTGTTAGATTCATTTATTTTTTGAATACTTCTATATCTAAAATTTTACAATAAATAGACCCTAACCCCTAAAAAAGTAAACCCTTTAGGGTAAAACTATAACTAAACAAAATATAATCAGTAGGCTGAATATTAATACGAAATACATTTATATTTTAATTAAATTATAATAATTTAAATAACAACTGCATTGCGTAATTAGTAGATGCCATGTAAGGTGAGATGATAAGGTGAGTTATTTAGGTGAGTTACCTATCATTATTCTTTTTGAAAAATTTGTTTTTCGTAAAGCAATGATATCTTTACTGATTAGGCACTGACCAAACACTGTGTAATAGGCCATCTTATGTACTCTCTCCGTCCCAAAATTATTGTCCAGTTTGAAATTTCACTTTTAATACAATTTGAACTAAAAATGAAAACCCAAACTGGACAATAATTATGAGACGGAGGGAGTATTATAAATATCAACAAAACGAACACAGAATGTTGTTTTTCTTTTAGCAGATTATCTCTGCAATTATGTGTTCTCATGTATACTTTTACATTTTGTTCAAACCTCGTCGTGATCAACTGATCATTGAAGCAGAATGTTGGGTCGACTAATTGATTCCCAGCGGATAAACATCAGTATCCATTCCAGAAAGTTTGGAAACCATCTCTATATTCAACAGTTTTAACCACGGCCAGTCGATATTTTAGCTCCATTTTTAATCAATGTTGTGGCAATGTAGTTCAACCTAAGTGTCACTTTCTTGTTTAACTATCCTACGGCAATCGATTAATTATCACCAATTACTCTGCTAGAAACACTTAACCTTCAGCTTAATATATATCCATGAGCTAAAGATGTAAGGTTGTGAGAATATTTTAAAACTAGGTTTTATTTCCAGTACAAGAACCATAAATTAATTCTAAACAACTACACAGATTCATCACCACTCAATCAGATTGAATCAATTTCAAGAAGATTTTTTAATAGATATTTGTCCAAATATGCAAGTATAAACTGGAGAAATATTTAAGAACTTGACGAATATAAATATCTAACAGGTACTCTCTGTGACATTATTTAACATAATAAATAGGATTAATTAAATAGGCTTGATTTGTTGTCAACTTTGTTGACATAGATGAGTATTGTCGGTTAGTGGGCTTAACTATCCTCAAGGAGTCAAGGTATAGCTAGTTATGCATTGATGAAGTGTGACAGCATCTGCATACATAGAACAGTTAAGTACATTTTTGGAGGTTCATTTTCAAGGTCCAACATATAAGTTTTCCATTTTCGGATTTTGCTTGTGAGGATGGGACAAATTGCACTCATTCGCACGTTCAAAGTCGACCAAATTTCTGTTTATGGGTTCCTCCATTTAGATTTTCTTTCTTTTTCAGACGACGGCGAAATGCATGATTCATTCTAAATTATCATCTAGACTTAGATTTTTTATTTTTTTTTTTGAAAAAAGAGACATAGATTAATGGTTCACTCAAATTAATTTTAGTATTCCTCTTCAGTTGGTACTCGATATAGTTTTAAGACATACTAGCTTTTTTCTTCATTTGAAACATATTCTTTTCGTCTAAAATAATTGTTCGATTTAGATTTTTGCTTTTAGATTTTTAAAGCCGGAGATAGCATTTTATACATGTGTAAATTGTCATAAATGGCTTCACACCTTTTTTTTTTTTTTTTTCATAATCTTGAAGACATGCATGTGAGTGGCAGTCAGGCAGGCAGTGTACATGATTTTTTTTTATCGTCGCTGAGTTGCCATTGCCATATAATATTGACTACATCCCCAAGGCAGTGTACATGATTTCTATCATTTTTCATAAGTATATGGGAGTATGCCATCCCCAAGGCTAAGAATAATATTGACTACATCCTATTTATGGAGATTGCGGACTTCGCCGACCATGCATATACTATTTCTTTTGAAAAAGTAGATTCATTCTACTTTAATTTTTTAACTTTGTGTCATCTGAAATGTATAGTTCCGATTGTGTTTGAGCCTTTGAGGTCCTTTTTGTCATGCAACACCAGCACGTACAACCACATCAACTGTCTTGGGCTGCCATTTTCATGCTTTCATTTAGTTTTGGATTCTCTATCGTCCATGTAATTGTCCGCCTTTTTCAGTGTTAAAAAAAAAAAAAAGAGAGAGAGAGAAGGAAATAAAAGTCTTACATTATTATTTAAGAGGGTCCAATTTCCAAAAGAAGTTGTGTAAGCATGTCACACATTTTTTTTTCTCGTTTTTTATTTATTATATACCTGGTGTATGAAATCATTGTTTCGAATAATTTGGATTTGAACCGGACAAAATACTCCCAAGAGAATCTTTAGTCAAATGTTATAGCTCTTCTTTCGTGTCAACAAAAAGATTATAACAACTAGAAGTCATGAATCTTTAGTCATGAATTACTGAAACTAGTATAAGAAGTCAGGTAGAACTTGATAAAATAAATATATCACGCCCAAATGGGAACAATAACAACTAGAAGAACAAAAAATCTGATAAAAAAGAAGTTTTCACTAACTACTTAATTTATTGAATCCAAATACTCCCTCTGTTTCAAAATTATCCAGTTTGAG